ATAGCTTCTTTGAGTTTCCAACACTCCTCAGTGTCGTGACCCTTTCCTTGGTGATATTTGCAGTGCTTATTAGGGTCCCACTTGGGTGGCTTGGCTTCTGGAACTGGATCTTTGATGGGCCCTATGGGCATGACTAGTCCTTTGTGATGTAGCTTCTCGAAAGCTGTTTCATAACTCATACTAAGTGGAGTGAACACTCTTTTTGACCTTCGGATTCGCGATTTAGAGGCGTTCGTGGCATGTACCTCGTTAATGGGAGAGGAAGAAGAAGGATGGTCGTTCTTCTTTCCTCTCGCACTATTATCTTTCATAATGTCATCTTCAATATCAATGCCTATATTATAGACAGCCTTGAAAGTATTCAAATTGTGTTGGTATTTTAAGTGCTTTGAATACTTCCCTTAGAGATTCTTGATAAACATCCTCACAGATTCTTTTTCGGTAGGAACTTTAACCATGTTAGCGGAAGTTTCCCTCCATTTGTTGAAGAAAGAAGTGAACCCTTCATTTCCTTTTTGTTTTAACATCTCAAGTTGTCTGTGGTCTGTTTCGTCTTGGATGTTGCACTTATATCTATCTATGAAAGTGTTTGCTATGGACTCCCAGGTGGAGGTTTTTTCTTTCTCGAGAGAAAAGAACCATTGCTGGCAAACGGTCTCAAGAGATAGTGAGAACAGAGAGGGGAAAACCTTCTTATCGATACCCTTAATGCTCATTATAGTTTCAAAAGATCTTAGATGAAAGTAAAGGTTATATGTTGCCTTGAATTTAGGGATGTCAGTGGCGTTGAACTTATGCGGAAGAAGGTCCTTGTCCAGCGAGACCCCTTGTGAACTAATGCCCTGAAATTTATAGTCACTAGATAGCTTGCTCAAACTTTCTTGCATAAGGTTCATTTGTTGTTGTTTCACAAGGTCATCAATTTTGAGGGTTAAAGCCTTTAACACCTCAGTCACGTCATTCAATTGATTCCTAAGTTAATTGACCTCTTCTTGACTTGCCATTATCTTTTTAACTTTCCTCTTTGGGCGAATTGGTTTATGAAAAAGTGAGACCTGAACAAAGGTGTTGTCCTTGATTAATCGCCCTTCTCTACTCTACCAAGTACTGTGGAAAAGGAATTTGGGGAATTCCATTGTTAATTATTTGACTCGAACTTTATTCAACATGCAATGGATGGAGGAAGTGAAGAAAGATGGAATAGAATGTGAATAAAAATGATATAGATGGAGAGATATGAAGAATTAGGAATAGAATGTGCCCCCAACTCAAATGCGGAAAAAACCGAGTCATGCATGAACCTAAGACATGGTCATGGTGATATGTACTCAAGGTGTGTGCTAAGATCAGTGAGTGTAGGTGACATGTTAAGACTCGTGTCATGACCATGTGGCTAGACTATGTGACTAGACTCAATTAATGACTTAACAAGGTATTATTGACAGTAATATTTAACCGAATTAATTAGTAAACTGGTTAATTAGACACAAGGTGATGACTCGATCAATAATCCGATCTGTCGCCAAAACGACAGGACTGACGCCTCTCTTTGCAGTGTAGTGCCAGACGACAGAACTGTCGCCAGGCGCCATACTCCACAGGGTGGCACTACAGTTCAGGCTTTGGCGCCATTGCTGGAGCTTTAATTTGGAACTGTTTTCGGTGTTATTAATCAACAAGGGTATGCCTAAAGTCGTACTAAGTCGATTCTGATTAAAATATTAGACTTTATTTACTCAAATTAATTAATTAATTAATTAGGCAAAGTTCTTTAAGTCATTAACTTATTTAATCTCAACACAAGTCAAACAAACAGTTAAGAAAACATAGTATATAAACAACAAATAATGCACAATTAGTCAAGTACGCACAATATGATGCAATGAGTTTGCAACCTAACCATGGCTCTAGTTCTCTAAAGTTCGGGATATGGTTTAGTCAATAGAGGGTCCATGGTTAATTTTCCAGATGCACCGCGCGGAAGCCTAACTGTGAAGGGTTGGCGCGAGTGGATGGGACACCGCGAGTTTTAGAAAAAACTCGCTTCCATGGTTTGGTGAATTCAACAATATGTACCCTTTGTTGCTCAGAGCGTTCAATCAGGTATATGGAGCATGAATTCAATAGGATTATGTCCATATGTAGAACAAATATGGGTTTCAGAATAGTGAGAAAAACTCAATCAGGAAGTAGGATCGAGCAAACAATGCGAAAAACCGGTCAAAATTAGAACGCATATTTCTGGCTTGGTATTGGAAGAACTTGGCGCCAGCGAACAGAGGCCGGCGCCGCGATTTGGCTCTGGCGCCTGGCGACAAGAGTTGTCGCCTGACGCCAGAGTTAAATCTTCGGCGCTAGACTCTGTTTTCTGACGCTAGTTCCTACATGCCTCAGCAGCTTTCTGTGCTCGATAAAATTTTCCAGTTTCACGCAGCATTATTTCGATCCTAATTGTGAAAGATATTTTTCAAATTTCCTACGTGTAAAAATCCTATGTTTTTAACTCATTACGGATGGTCTTTCCAATGAGATCTTTTTTATGCATATGACAATAATGTTAATCAAAATTACGCACATGAAATACTTAGAACGTTTTGAGTCTCATTCACTCATTCTAAATCATTGACGAAACAAATTCAGGAATTAAAATAGAAATCCTCCCCAGTGGAGTCGCCAAAAACTGTAGGGAATATTTCAAGCGTTATCCCAAACTTGAACCCTACTGTGATCATACACTAAAGTACAGTGGCATCCGAAGGGAAAGAAGATAGAGCAAAAGAGTCACCAACAAGTTTTAGGAACTTGTAAACCGTTCACGAGGTGAAGGTTACAACCCTTAACGATCCAAGAGATCATCAACTCCAATAGGTCTTGAACCATGACTGGTAGTTTGGGGATGAAGGTACAAATCCAACCTAAAAGAGATTGAACCTGCCCTAATAATAGGCCTCTACTTTATTCTGATCGTATTCATGTGCGCTTTCTGACTAACATGCAATTAATAGGATTAACCCTAAACCTGTTTATCTATGTTGGTTGAATATTAATGCACAAATAAATCTATTATTGGCGATCACTTGAATTATAATCATATTAACCATAAACAAGATTATTAATTATCTTATTAAGCGTGATTACAAGTATCAATTCCCTTTAAACATGCATAAAAGGCGTGATCAAGCAATAATAAAAAAATCAAGCAACAAGATAATAATAATATATAATCATGTTAAAGCATAATAATAATAGCAAGATCCTAGGCATGATACTAACAAGATTAATAACAAACCCTAGCATGTCACTAAACAATAAAAATCAAAGCTTTAACCCTAACATGATACTAACAATCATAAATATTAGGAAGAACATAAAAGGCATCATACTTTTAATCATACTTGGTATTAAAGTTACCCTAAACATGATACTAGGAATCATAATAACAACCTAAGCATGACTTCTATATAATAACATCAATAAAAACCATTAAAGTACTTACTTGGATGTCTCGTATCTCTTTCTAATAATAAAATACACACGTTAGTAACTTCAAGGAAAATAATAAAATAAACAATTAAATTAAATAATAATTGAAAGAGAGATTTAAGACCAAACCCTCAAAAATTAAAACCTTTCACGTCTAGGGCGAAGGCAATTTCGAATTATGCTAGGTGTATCTAAGTCTTGCGAATGCGGAATTTCGTATTTGAGAAAAGGCTAGTTTAGAAAAGAGAGAGAGAGAGTAAGAGTTATCAAGAAAATCTTGATGAGAGTTGGTGAATGAAATCGGAGTTTTTAGCACGTTATTTATAGAGAAAATCAGCCAAAAAGATAAAACATCAAAAACAGAGTTCTAACGCAAAAAACCAAGTTAGCGCCAAACGCTGACCTTAGCGCCAGGCGCTACAGCTGGCGTTTGGCGCTGACTCAGAAATTCACGCGTTTTCTTAAAACCAGATAGAAATTGCCTTACAGGAGGATAAAATCGTATTTTCCTTAAAAAAACGTTCTTTGATTCTGATTAAAACTCTAAAAAGTCAACAAAAGTCAATTTATCAATGCTAATCGAATTAGGAATGAAAAGAACCTTCTAGAAGAATCTAGAAGACTAAAACCATTCCTAATTGCTTTAGGAATGATAAATCCATATTAGGCTCTCCTCTAGATCATTGGGCCGTATATAAGGCTCAAACCGGGCCCAGTTTAGTAATTTGGTCCTAACTTCCTCAATATTCATCGGAATTGGGCTTATAATATATCGTTGGAAAGCTCTTTTCAACCCCTTCCAACTAAACTATTATTGGACCCATATCATGGACCAACCAAACTATATTGGCTGTTTTCTTAAAATAGGTTTTCAAAAACAGAGAGAAGAGAAAAGAAATTAAAACTTTCCGCAACACTAAACTTTCCACACTTTCACTTCATTCGATTATGATTCGACGCGAAAGGTACTCATCACGGGTTTGGTTTTGGGGAGACACAAATGGGTGTCTAAAATAATAATTAGTAGTTAGTTATAAGATTTCAGCATTTCATTTTCTTGATTTCTTATCTGTTGATCATTGGAAACATTGAAACTAGAAAGCTTTAATAACTAAAAGAAGCCTTCGTTTAACATCTAAAAGGAGCCTTCTGTGCAGTAGAGCAAACTACCAATTCACAACAAGTTTAGAGAAGTAGGCTTTGGGTATAAGGTATTACAGTACTCATCTGCTTTATTCCTTGTTTGTTTGAAAAGGATTTAGTACACTTAAGATCAAATTAAAGGTTACTATGTCAATCATAATTAACACTATATCATAATAATCAGTATTTAAAAGATATAAAGTTTCCAAGAATGTAATTACAAATAAAAGGTAACCATGTAACAATGCAGGTTACTATGATAAAATATAGTGTTCTTAAGACTATCAGAGCATATACTTATTATTAAAATTTGGTGTTTTGGCACCAAATTCTCTATGCTTCCTTCTCTTCCCCTTTTTTATGTAGTCATAGCTTCATGGAATCCTTTTATTTGATTGGCTTCCTTTAGTTTTGGCACGAGCTGGGTTCAGTACTTGAACCACACTAGATGAAGTTTCTTCTGAATTCTCTTCTACACCTGTAGTGTTCTGAGTTAAGTTCATAGCAGAAATAATCTCATCAATTGCACTTAAATCTTTTGCAAAGCTTTCTTCTAAGAATTTCCTTGCTTGTTCAAACTTGTGGCTCTTAAGGATTAGACTATAATACTTCCTCACCATGTGTAGCCGCCAAGGTGTGAAGTTGTTTAATGTCCCCTTCATCCTTTGCTCTGCCTCCATACTTTCCCTAACTTTATCCTTAGCCATTTTAGTCCACCTGAAAGATATGTATTGCTCTGAGATTATTTTCACAACAGAATGCATGTGTAAGATTCTAATGCTATGGAAGCATAACCAACCCGATTCTTCAAAATTCTTGCATGGACATTGAATTGTTTGGTTAACTGGATCATAAGTTACTGCTTGAGTTGTGCCATCTTTGCCTTCAAGGTACACTTGGTAAACCATTTTTCCTCCATTAATGAATATCAGTTTAGTTTGAGATCCAATGGCTAGGTTGAATTCTTCTTCAAAGTCCCATAATAATGTATGTGTGTAAATCTCAGCAGCATGTTTTAGTAAGGTAGACATTGGATAGCTTGAAGTAGGAATTAATTTTGTGCTATTGAACTCATAAAAATCCTCATTCTTTCTCCAAGTCCTCACTGTCTTCTGAAATATGTTGTAGAATTCTATTAAACTTGTTTTCTTGTTTGCTTTGAATCCCACTGCATGATTTGTGCTCTAACTTCTCTGTGATGACAAGATTCCCGCGGAGAAAAAGTCCTTACCTAGAGTTGTTGACCACTTATGCTTTAGTGAGTATAACCTTTTGAACCAACTGTCATTTTTCAGCTTGTACTTTGTCGTCATTGAATCCCAACATACTTCAAACTGAGCTTCGGTAATACAACCACTCAAGCATTTCATGAAAGCAGCCTTGAATGTGTCATTACTCTTCAAAACTCCAAATCTTGTTACAACATTTTGAATCAAGTGCCATTGACATAGTCTATGTCTAGTATTTGGAAATAACTACATATTTTTATACAGTTACTATAGTTTCAAAAATGGTTGCTGCATTTAAAATAGAGGTAACTAAATATAATTTCAGTACAAACATATTTATATATAGTGGTATTCAAAAAGTTCCTTCAAAATTAGAAATTACCTTTGGTATTGCTGCTACCATGGCTGCATCTTGGTCTGTAAACAGTGAGACAGAACATTTACCACCCATTGCCTTTTTGAAGGTCTCAAATAGCCACATAAATGAATATGTGGTCTCATCACCAATAAAAGAACAAGCAACATAGTGTTCTTGCAGTGGTTGTTTATTCCTACAAAGGGTGCGCAAATGAGGTTGTAACGATTCGTCCTATATGTGGTGTCAAATACACTGACATCCCCATATATTTTATAATCTTCAAGCATCATGGAATCCCTCCAAAACAAGTTACAAACCCTTCCATATGCATCCAACCTTACTTTGAAAAAGAAGTTAGGGTCCTCAGAATAAGCTTCCTGTAATTTGTCACAAACTACTTAAGAATCTCCTCCTTCAATGGCCTTTATTTTCAGTTTATAACAATAATTCATGTGGTCTTTCACTATATGACCAATAGCATCTTCTCCTCCAGCTTTATTTGACATGTAATTAAAGGATTCCATAGGTTTTAGTCCAGATTCTTGCATGGCCTCAATCGCTTGCCCTTTAATTCCAGTCATTGCACTCTCTGAACGGTGGAAATGGTTCCATTGTGGTCTAGTGAGTGGATGATTGTGCACCAACACATGCTGAACTATCTAAAATTTCCCCTCCTTATTCAATTTAGCTATTATCAAAGCATTACAGTTTGTCCTTGTTATTGGAACTCTCCTACTTTGTCTTGTTTTTTTTTTTACCGAAGAACTTTCCTCTGTCAAGAGTTCTTCTGGAATTTTTTCCTTCTTTTTACCGGAATTTCTTAGTCCATCTGCAAAGCATACAAAGAACTTTTTGGTGATGATATCTTTAGTTTCGATTTTGCTTGTTTGTTTTGCTTTTCTAACACTAAAACCAACTGCAGCAACATGTTGACAATACAATTCATGTATTTCCGCAAGTGCTGCTCGAGTTTCTCCTACTAACCAACCATTAATATCATCAATATTATTTGCACCTGTTATTTATTTGCACCATCCATAATAATCATTTATACAAGTCAAATTGGAGATATCAGAATAGTTTTAACAAAAATAGATCACTATACTATCATTAAATATGTTACGTAAAATGTTTTGAGAGTATTCCAGTGATAAAAAAAATGTTTTCTCTCTCTAGATTTTTTACTCTCTCGCATGATCCATAAAGGAACTACCATCTTGTCTAGGCAAGGTGGACTTGGGAGTTCTTGTTAGGGATTAAGATAGCTTTCTTTCTCAAATTGTTTTCTTTTTACAGGTTTCAGCCTTCGAGGATTCCCCAAGCTCTATCCTGTTCTAGTTTCCTTTCCTTTCTTAAGCCTAGCTCTCTTTTTATATGTCTCAATGACATTACAATCACCTTCTATAACAACTGAAATTGACATGGTTGATTCCATTTGTAACAATCATGACAATAATGTTGAGAACAATCATGATAGTATTGTTACTCCTACTGACAAGTCATCAATCACGCAGCAAAAGGAAGTGCAAAATACTTCTTTGATATCAAATCGAGAAGTGGATATGACTATGTTAGATAGCAATGAGGTTGTTATTAGCCATAATAAAGTTAATAACCCGCCTATCTCCTACGATTCAAAAACAATCATTTAGAGAAGCAGTTCAACCATCCTCTCAATGGTTTGATGAAGCTCGTAAGATAGTTGTAACTTCTACTGAGTGGGAGGATGAAGCTTATACCCCCCTGGTCCTGCTAAGGCAGTCTCCTTCCCGAAAGATACTCTACAAAAGCTAAGACAACCACAGAAATGAACCTTGATGGGGAAATGTTTGGGTATTTCTGTAAGACCGTCTTTAATAACCCAAAGAGTGAGGGAAATGTGGAGGCCCCAAGGAACTCTAGAGGTCATTGATTTAGGTAAAGATGTCTATCTTTTTCGTTTCTCTATCCAAGATGATTATAAAAAGGCCTTACTAGGAGGACCATGGTTTATAATGGATCATTACTTAATGATCACCAAATGGAGGCCAAACTTTAGACCTTCAATGAATCCTTTTGATAGGATGACCGTTTGGATTCGATTCCCAGAATTACCCGTCGAGTATTATGATAAAGAGGCTCTTTTCGACATCGCCAAGCTAGCAGGGATTCCAATTCGAGTTAATTATGCAACTGATCATATCACTAGAGCAAGGTATGCAAGGGTATGCCTTGACATTGACCTTACTAGTCCTTTGATCTCTAAAGTTTGGGTGGGAAATAGTTGGCAAATAATTGAATATGAAAATATTCAATGCCTATGTTTCCTTTGTGGAAAAATTGGACACTCTAAGGAGCGTTGTTCTCTAAAAATTGTGGAAAATATTGTCCAACCTACTACTTCTACCTCAAAAGATGAGTTGAATTCCACTTCCAAACCATCTTCTTCAACTTCTACCCCTAATATGGGGGTCTTGGTTTCCCACCAAAATTCTGACTATGGACTATGGACTATGGTTTCCAATAAGAAAAAAAAATTACACCTCAAAGACTATTAAAAAAACCAACCAACCCACTTTCTCTAAAGCTTGTCAAGGCCCAAACCCGAACCCAAAAGTTCAACTAAATCCCAATCCAATTCCTAGCCTACCCACCACAAAACAGAATAACTTCCCCAAAAATACTTCTAAAATTTCACCTTCTAATCCTTCAGCTTCCAATTCCTTTGCTTTACTAGACACCACCAATGAAATCACTACCAATAATTTAATTAATAAAATAATAAATAACAATGATAGCCTCCACATTGAAAATACCAAATCAAATCCCCCAAATCTCTCTTCCCTACCCTCACACGCTTCCCCTCCATCCCCAATTTGCTTAAGCTCAGACATAGTTAGCCACTTGGCAACCATGGAATCAGCATCAACAATTGGCGATTCAAACCCCTACTACCACCAATTCTTGCCTTTTAAACTCCCCTATTCTCACTTCTATTTCACAGAACAAAAACATCCCAGAAAACAAAACCTTGCCTCTTACCAACAATGGAGAAAAACATATCGAAATTACCTCCGGTACGACCACCACGCCGATTGGCGAGGATAAACACGAGGAGCAGCACCCCACCTCCATGGATGCGACCTTTGTCAAGTCAATTAATCCCTCACTCTCGCCCTCTATAGGGCTCTCCAATCATCCAAGCTCAACCTCTGTTAATGAGACAACCTTTCAATCCATTTCCCTATCCATCACCACCACCACCTCATTTTTCTTTCAACCCTGCACTAACTCCGACCATGACCCCCTCCTAAATCCGAAATTTAGTGCAAAATCCACCAACACTCTCAATTCAGACTCCACCCATCTCGAATCCTCTATTTTGGTCCTTGATAGAAACCCCTCCGACTCCAGAGAAAATAGCTTTGATGTACAACACCGTCTTCCAAATTACCAAGTTCTTCTATTACTGACTTTGTAGGTGAGTGTTTTAATAAGGGAGCTATTCCTAGCAACATAAATGATTCTTATATTTCTCTTATACCCAAATGTGATAACCCCACCTCTATGAAGGATTTCCGTCCTATTGGGCTATGCAATATTATTTATAAGATTATTACCAAATGTATCTCTAATAGATTAAAGCCCTACATGAATGATCTTATTAGCCCTTTCTAATCTAGTTTTATTCCGTCTAGATCCATTGATGAAAACATTATTATTATTAAAGAGGTGGCTCATCACTTCAATAAAGTTTATAAAACGGCTAACTTAATGGCCCTAAAAATTGACCTTTCCAAAGCTTTCGATAGTTTAGAACGGTCCTTTATAAAAGATACTCTAATACATTTTAGCATCCCTCTTAAAATGATTAATCTAATTATGAGTTGTATTTGCACTCCTAATATTTCCCTTTTGTGGAATGGTGAAATTACTAACCATTTTCTTCCGGAAAAAGGCATTCGCCAAGGTGATCCTCTTTCTCCTTATATCTTTGTCCTTTGTTTAGATTGTCTTTCTTGCATGATCTAAGCCAAAGTTAATGAAGATATATGGAAACCTATGAAAATTGCTAAAGATATTAATATATCTCATTTATTTTACGCTGATGATGTGTTTTTGTTTGGCAAAGCTTCCTCCTCTAATATTCATGTTATGATGGAAGTTTTTAACCATTTTAAACAAATCTCTGATCTTTCTATTAATATTCAAAAATCTTCAGTCATTTTTCCTAGGAAAATGGATTATAATATCAGGAAATCTATCTGTGATATATGTAGCATAACCAATACTACTAATTTTGGAAAATATCTAGGTATTATTATTAGTCACAAATGTTTAAATCATCTAGACTATTTCCCTTTACTTGATAAAACTTGTGCTAAAATCTAAGGGTGGCAAGCTAAGCTTTTAAACATGGTTGGCAGGTGTACTCTCATTAAATCGGTTCTTAATTCTTACCCCGTTTATGCCATGCAAACTAATATTTTGCCTTCTAATGTCCTCCTTGAGCTTCAAAAGAAATGTAAGCAATTTCTTTGGAATAGGGTTAATAGATAGATACATTCCTAGAACCAATTGGAAAGTCATTTGTGATCCCATGTCTTAAGGGGGTCTAGGTATTAGAGATTTGAAAAGATGGAATCTTTCTTTTATGGTCAAGCTTGGTTGGAAAATTTTAACTCAACTTGATAAATTATGGGTAAAAATTCTAATCAATAAATACCTAAGATATAGTAATTTCATAGATTATAATCCCAAAAAAAACTGATTCTATAATTTGGAAAGATATCCTTGCTGGGAGAGAAATCCTAAAATATGGAAGTATAATTAATATTGGTGATGGGGAAGACACTTCCCTTTGGTTCCATCATTGGATTGGTGATTTTCCTTGTATCTTATTCCCAATATTAGAATTCCTAATTCTAGAGGTCATTGGAGGGTTACTAACATTATTAGAGACAACTGTTGGTATTTAGATAATATTAAGCATTTCATCCCTGATTCTATTTTTTCCCTTATTCTAGCACATCCTCTCCCTACCCTTGTCCATGTTAAAGATATACTAAGATGGACTCTAGACAAGAGTGGCTCTTTTACCATAAAATCAGCATACAACTCTACTCTCCCTCCTTGTAACCTAAATTCTTCTTCTCTTCCTAATCTTTATTGGAAAAACTTATGGAAAATAAAGGCTCCCTATAAATACAAAATGTTGCTTTGGAATTTAGAAAGGGATATCTTACCAACAGGAACTACTCTCAAGAAAAAAATTGTCTCTTTTGACCCTTTTTTGTATAAGATGTGAAGCTCCTTTAGAGGACTCCATCCATATCTTTAAGGACTGTCCAAATTCTACCTCCTTTTGGTTTCTCATTTTCAAGAATTATTACTCTCCTACTTTTGATTTAAACACTTTTTATAACTCAAACCTTGCTGAGTGGTTAGCTTTTAATTTAAAAGGTGATTCTTCTTGGAAAATTATTTTTGTGGTTTCTATTTGGCATTTATGGAAAACTAGAAATATGGCCATCTTTGATCAAAAAATGCTTTTCATCCAATCCACTTTTAAAAAGTTTCAAGTTGATTATCTTGGTTACTTAAAATTAAAGCGGGGAAATATGGACTCAGCTGCTTCTTCAAGCTCTTCTGCCAGCAGAATTTGGGCTCCTCCTCACAGGGGCTATTTTAAGCTCAACACGGATGGATCTTGGATGAACCTTGAGAATGCAGGAGGGGGAGGTGTAATTAGATGTCAAAAAGGTCTATGGCAGGATGGTTTTGCAGTCAATTTCAATGTTGCTAGTGCAACTTCTGCTAAACTCCTTGCTATTAGAGAAGGACTGCTCATTGCTTGGAAGAGAAAGATTGAAATTCTTGAACTAGAAACAGATGCAGATGCTTTGTCTAAGATGCTTAAAAACCCAGAAGCTTTCTTGGATAATGACCTTGGGAACATCATCAGGGATGTTGCTGCTCTTCTCAACAGGAATTGGAAAGTTACCATTTTTTTCATGCAAGAAGAACTTGCAACTTTGTTGCTGACAAATTAGCTACTATTGGAAGAACAAGAGTCAAGAAGGGTGAGAAAGAAAACTACTTCTTTCCTCCTCCAGAAGTTTTTGATTTGTATGCTTCTGAAATCCCAGAATATCAAGCCACTGATCAAGGAATTGCCTTGCCTGCTACTAGCTACTGCCCATGAATTTTCAACTGTTGTTTTAGTGCTGCCTAATAGGCCTTTTGCTAAGTACTTACCTAGTACTACAAACTATATTTACTGCTTTCTGCTCTTTATTTTCTGTTATCTTTTAAGCTTTACTCTACTATCCTGGTTGCAAAACATGCACCAGTCTCTGCTGCTTTTGATCAAGTGAAAGTTACCACTTTGATGTAATATATGGTTCCTCTTTTGCGTAAAAAAAAAAAAAAAAAAAAAAAAAAAAAAAGGTTTTTCTAAGCTATGCCCTCAACGTTGTTGAGTTTCTAAGAAGTGTCTATGCTTTTTCAAAATTACAAGTTGTGCCCTCCAACTTAAGTTGTTTGATCAACCGTACCCTCTAACGTAAACTCGACGTTGGAATTGTAAATAAATAGGAAGTAATAAGAAGCGGATGAGAAAAAAGAATAAGAAATACACCGAGATCTTGACATATCCATGGTTGCTTTTAGAAGAAAGAAGAAAAGGCAGATAAGAAAATTTGGAAAAAAATGTTAAATTTTAACCTACTTATATAACTCTCTCCAAAGTGTGGTAATGAACCGTTAACACAACTACTAACATTGGATTAATGTTATAGGGTACGGTTGAATAAACACCTTAAGTTGGAGGGTATATATTGTAATTTTAAGAAAGCATGAGCACACCTTAGAAACTCAATAACCTTGGGAGCATAGCTATAACTACTGTAAACCTATTTAATTTTCAATCCACATAAATTACGCACAACTAGTTTCAATAATACGAATTAATACCTAAATGCCTAATTTAATTTTCCAAACAAACAATTGCAATTGCATAATCGCTTAAATTCACATTATCAAATTCTAAAATCAAATTGCATAATCGTATAATACCTTGATCTTGCATTAGAGGTTGATTATTCTCATGAACTTCATTCTCATCCTCAGCTTCAATAATAGTTTGTTCTCCATCTTCAACAACTTCGTTCAGATTGAAATTGATGACATTAATATCAAAGTTTTCTGTAGTGTCCTGTATATTTTGATTTAGATCCAATTCAATTGATTGTATAGAAGAATTCTCCATGAATTTTGAAGAAATGGATTGATTAGGGATGAATTATAAACCTTAGAATTGATTTGAGAAAATTCGAGCTCTGGGAAATTTGAGAAAGAAAAAAATTCAAGCTCTGGAAATTTGTTAATGGCGTCGAAATAAAGCTTGGGAAAGAAGTTAGTATGTTGGGCTGGGAAAAAATAGATTCCAGTGGGCTTTCCTTTTTGCAGCTTGGTTAGTTTCGCACGTGAGACTTATAGTCCACACAAGAATTTTTGCCAAGCAAGCCCTTACTTCTGCACAAAAAGCTGATTCTGCAATCCCATAGTTTCCCCCTCCATCATACACTCTATCTCTGTTGTTTCCAGCAAAAATCCAACCAATCCCTATTTGCTTTGTATTCCTATCCCATGAGCCATCAATTTGGATCAGATAATCATACCCCCCTTACTTCTCTTTTCCCAGGTTAGGTTAGCTGCTGGGAAACCAGGAGGGAAAAGGGGGTCGCGGCTTCTAATACAATCTTAATCTGTTGTCTCAAACCATTGCAGTTGTTTCCTGCATTGCTGTTGGTTTCTTCTAACCGTAGCCACATTTCCTTTATCCTGTCTAAAGACTCTGTCATTCCTAAGCTAGTCACCCATAGACTCCACAAGGTTATAACTAGAGTCTTGATATGCTCACTAAACATGTTATCCTTGCTATATATTTGAATCCATTTCTTTAAAGTAGTATCATGATTAAAATTCACATTGGTTACCATATTACTACTACAAATCTCCGTGGCAATTCCACAAAATCTGAAAATATGTTGTGTCGTTTCGTCCTCCCCACAATAATCACAAGAGGTGTTTAAGTCCACTCCTCTAAGAGAAATTAACTTTTGCAGCTATTCCATCATGATAGACTTTCCATAAGAAATTTTTCTATTTTTGAGGGAGATTCAGGCGCCACAAAATTGAAGAAAAACGAGCCTGTTCTTCAGAAGTTATACTGTTTCCCTGCTCTTTATCTCCCAGGCATTTATAACCTGATTTAATCGTGAATTTACCTGTCAAGTTGTGCTTCCAATACAACTATCTTGTTCTTCTGAGTTTGGCAGCTCCATGGCTAAAATCTCTCTTGCATCTGATGCCTCAAACCACATTCAACATCTTCCCTCTTCCAAGTCATACTGTTGTGATCAATAAGTTATGACACTTTTAAGTTCCTTGCACTTACTAAAGTATGCTATGATCAATAAGAAAGTCTTAAGTTACGATTTAAATTTATAGTTTGAAGCTCTTAAATCGTTTGTTTACCTTTTCCAATCACTTTCTCAAAATATGTGTCAAAACTTGGCACTTCCTCCGTTCTAATTTAGTTGACGCGTTTAATTCAGACACATATATTAAGGAGATGAGAGGAAATGATAAAACATGTGGGGTACACTAGCAAATGCAAGGTACAAACGTGTCAACTAAAAATAAACTTCCTAAAAAGGAATACGTATCAACTAAAAAAACGGAGGTAAGTTTATAAATAGCCTAAAAGTCAAACGTGTTATTTATGAACGATGTAAATAATCTAGTTCATTTCAAAAACAAGTTTAAACCTTTTTTTTAAGGAAAACGTTAGACAATAATATTATTAAATAGAATCCGCTAACAGTTCAAGACTTTGCGGGAATCGACCCATACAAACGAATTCCAAACAACCATGAGTATCCCATCTTGCTATATGGTGGGCTACCATGTTACCTTCCCTTCTACCATGAGAGGAAATAAAAAGCATTAAAAACTTTGAAACATGCTAATATTATCATAAATTAACCATATTGGAGAGCAACCTCTGAAACCGTTGTTGATTGCCACACACAGAAGAAGAGTCACCTTCCAACCATACTTGCATCATGCCCAAGCGCTTAGCAGTCCCAAAATGCACTAAAATGCACTGTTGATGCCTTTGCACACTCCTCCCACACACCCACAACTTGTCTAACCGCTGGTCGGATGAGCTCCCCCTCCCCCAAATGGTTTCTTGCCACTAGGAAGTAGTTACATGAGCATCCACATTTACTTTAAATTAATAAACCTTCTGAAGGACATTGCCACATTGTGAATGAGAATTGCACCCCACACAAATCATCCCCTACTACATGCATACAAAAGAGTTTTTGCTTGACCGCAGCACTAGGGGTGTTCAAATTCGGGTACCCAGAGTTCCGGGTAATTGGTATTTCGTCCCATGTCCCGACCCGAATATCTCGGGTACCCGAATTATTCGAGTCGGGACATCGGGTACCCGGATATTCTCATTCTCTCATTCTCTAATTGGCATTCCCTCATTCTCAAAAAGCTCAAACACTCAAATACCAAGAAAAGCACGCATAATATAATCATAAACATCACCAATTCAAAAGCTAAGAATGAATTAATTAACCACAATCAAACAAATACTCAGTAAATTAATAATCTTTTAATAAAATTCAATTACAAGAATAAGAGAACAATAATGGAATCTTTCTCTTGAAAACTTCGTGGAGTTCGGCCCGTTGCTTCATCTTCTTCTACAAGACTGCCGCTGCTTCATCTTCATCTTCTTCGTGGCGATTCGGCTTCAAAACTTAGGGGTTAGCAGAAGTAGGGATAATTAATTAATTAGGCGTTGAAATTGGCGGATGAAAATGAAGGAAGGTTCAACAAAGGCGGAAGGAGAGAGAAGATGGAGGTAATGAGAGTGAAGTGAGACCAAATTCACCATTGTAAGGAAGCAGATCTATGAGGAGAGATAGAGAGAGAGAGAGAGGAAGAGAGAGAGCGACAGAGGGGGGTTTTTTCTTAAGGAATGAGAACCCTAATGGGCTGGGCTAAAGTTTGAGTTTTTTTTTTAAAAATTAATTTATTTTCGGGAATTCGGGTACCCGGGTAGTAAAAATTGCGACCCATGTCCCGAAAAAATAGTTTTTTTCCCCAAATTTCTCATCGGATATTTACCGGGTCATTGGGAAATCGGATCGGGTTTTTTTGAACACCCCTAAGCAGCACACCCCTTGCACATTCGCCACAAGAAGTGGCTAAGTTTTGGGAGGCCGCAAAACTTCCATATAATGCACCAAGCTTCCTACTCTTCATCCTCTGCCCCAACATCAACACCATTAATTTGACCTATTCTTCCAAGCCGGTACCTAGATTTTACATTATAAACACCATTTTTAGATGGCCTCCAAATCTACGAATCATTAGGCATAGATATAGATAGCGGTATCTGAGGAATGGAAGTACACTCATCCGACAAAAATAATTCTTGCAGACTCGCAGTGCCTTAGTGGTCCAACAAGCAGAAGGTGTATCAATCAACTGCGACACCTGCAAATCCGGATCATAAAGCGGACCATGTGTAGAAGGTTTTGCTGGTGTCTCAGGTAGCCATGCATCAAACCAAACGCGAGCACGAAGCATCTATTCCATTTTCAATTCTCTACCAGTAAGCTTATGAAACCCATTTGGGATCTGAGGATAAAAAATAATAATAATTCTAGTCTTTACAGTAATTTTTACTAAATATGTTTTAAAATTCCATTGGATTCCAGAAGTGTCCAAACAATTGAGCAAGACTGCAATAAGTTGAATAAAAAATCTGTACAATATGTGATTGTGATTACCCTATGTATTTAGCTCTCAACTGTTTATAATTTTTTTCATTGAATCAACAAAAACGTACACTAAAAACAAGGTATTAAATTAAGAGATTAACAAAGTATAATGTAAAGCTATTTACACTTAATTTTGTCCATTTAGAAGACAATTGTATTATTATAATGAGGTATACATGAGGAAAGCAACTTAAGTCCTGTTGATCATGTAATTTCTTCCAACAACTTCGAGTAATACTTTGCCTGTCGACTGAGTATATGATGAACTGTCATTGCCATGTCCATTGTAAATTCTATGAGACCAAACACTTCGGAAAAGCATGGAATCGCAATCACTTGAGGAGTACTGCACGCTTCACTTCCCACAGTACAGTTCTTGAAAAGACTGATAGGCTTGACGGAAATTGCAATAGTATCAGTATTACACCAAAGGGGAGACTACAGTTGTGGCCTTTTATACAGGGATAAAAGAGATGATTTTGAAAGGGTTAATTTTTTCTTGAACTGTGGCTGCTGCCAACCATATTGCTCTAGGAACTCCTCGATCAACCTGATAGATCACCGGGAAAAAAAATTAAAAAAATAAAATTAGAATAACACCAAAGGGATAGGCATACTAAAAACATCAATTGATCTCCAGTTATTACATGCTACAAATAGACTTCTGGGAAGCTGCCATTTCACGGTCAGGAAATGAATCGTCCAAGCGATAACTCAACCACACATAAAGCTCCAAGACCTTCATCAAAGAGATACTTATGTTAAATATGTTTAAGGAGCTGTAAGTTACAGTAAATTGAAAATAGATCTGTCAAAATAGGAATAATTCCATTTCTTCAAGGCCAAAATATTATATTTGAGATCTATCATGCATAATTTGCATCCTTGAGTTTCAATGACACTAAAGAGAAACGGAGAATAAAAGTTGACAAAATTTGTATGACAAAGATTAACAACATAATCCCTTAATTCTAACTTTATACACCCTCCGTATTTTAATACTTGCTACAATTTTCTTTTTGCGGCCATAATTTGTTACTTGCTCCATTTCCACTTTTGGAAACTTAAAACAATATTTACAATTTTTCTTCCCACTAATGGTCCCCTCATATCAAATTATAATATTTTTCATATTCTCTCTCTTCCCCACTTATACTCACTAGTAGATTTTATTTATTCTTCAACCAACCCCACTTCTATCACAAAACAATACTTTCTACTCCTTCCGTGTTTTAATAAGTGTTACAGTTTGACGGGCACATAGTTTTAGGCGATTTAACTAACTTAAATAAAATAAGAGGTAAGTGGGGTAGTTGGAGTATTAAAGAATTGTAAAAGAAAGATAGTTGAGTTAAAAGTTTATTAAAAAGTAATGAATGTGATAGGAAAGATATACTTAAAAAAAAAATAGTAGTGGATTTAGGTGGGGACCATGAGAGGAGAGAGATATAATATTTAAATGTAGTTTTTTGCCAAAAAAAGAAAGTATAACAGTTATTAAAGCATGGCCGCATTTGATAAGTGTAGCACTTATTAAAACACGGAGAGAGTATATAGATAACATAAAATTGAGAGAATCCAACAATGACAAGAACACCACCACCACCACCACTACCACCAGCAACTACTTTTTCAGCATCATGATGGTAATAAAATAGCCAACAATCCTCAAAAACAGCAACTCAACTAATTTCCAGTTAAAAAGAAAACACAAACTTCTTCAACTGTTTTAACACCTTCCTACATTTTCAAATTCAATTAAACAATACGGAGTAACAAAGCAACAGGCTTCCAAAGCATCAAATCAACTAAAACACAAGCTCCCTCAACTTTTTATGCACCTTTCTACATTTTCACATTCCGATTAGACTATAAATTAATACAGAGCAACAAAGCCAAACAAGCGCTTGTATCAAGCATTCCTAGGGATCTAATTTAAATCAATATTCTACTGTATAAGATAACTTCCATCTCTTCTTATTTGTAGAAAAATAAAAAATTCATTATTGATCCCATATTATTTTTCACCTAAATTGCCAATGCACTATAGTCATTTTGGGAAACAATACAATATACAATAAAGTGGACATTTAATTAATGCAAACCTCAGATACAGTGATAGCAAAAGGACTGGGCACAGACAGCACTTTTACACTATATCATAGGTCATCAATGTCATTCTTATTGCAACCAGAACGTGTGATATCTGAAACCAGGCAGAAATTGGATATATAATTGTTAAAGCAAATGCACCGAAGGTTCTTGCTTCGTAGGGGAATGGCCCATTTTCCTTATAAGGGTATCATGTTACATACCTTGCAGTTTATTTATTTGGGAGAGAAAAGAGGGAGGGGGGGGGGGGGTGAGGAGGTAATACATAAATTATAACTTCTATTAGGAGTCAAACCTTATGAATAGATTCCAGTTCTTGCATAGCAGCTGGTGTTTTAGGCACCTTAAGTGTCCCAGGTGTGAAAATCTCCCGTAAATTAACAATGCCTTTCTTGGCATATGTTTGTGCAAACTGTCCATATATATTTACAGAGTAAAATCAACTGTGAAAAAAAAATTACAGTAATACAAATTTATACATATAGCATGTGGATAAGATTTATTTACCTGCACAAGTCCTTGCGATGATATATCATCATCCACATCAACTGGACTGCACATAGAGACAGAATAAATGTTAAGACAATAGTGGTTTATGTACGACTCAACACAACATGGTTATTGCATTGCAAACTAATAGCATAAAATCAGTTACATACAAAAATAAAATAAGATAAAAAAAAATAAGATAATGATAAAATATTAAAGAAATGGAAAGTAAATTGTGCCATACCAGAGGTAGAATACACACACACACACACACACACAAAAAAAAAAAAAAAAAAAAAAATCATCCATACCATCATGTTTTGATACAATAAGGGCCAAAATTCAGCGATCATAATAAGAATACATAAAAGAGAAATGAAAGTAGATCTAAATAACGAATATCTGGTTTCAATAAAAGAAAAAAAAAAGCCAATATCTAAAAACGAATGCTTAGATTCTGTAGCCCAAGATGCCAAAGCTTAAAAATCTAGGAAGATCTGGGCAGTGCATATTTATCAGGCAGAGAGGAGGCACGAGGGAGCGCTACAGACATGTGAACCCAGCTTGAGTGTCTGAATTCATTTTTTCAAATATGGAAGTTTTTCATTGTTGTTTTGCAAGGACTGCCTACACAATATGCTCTCCTTGATACCAGAAATATCTATGAGCAAAGAGGCCAGAAAAAGAAACAAGATTAAAAAGGGACATTGCAGGAATAGAACAAATAGACTGCCGACCCTTCCCACATTGTATGGATATCTAGAAGTAAACATTGTTACCTCCAAAATTAATAAAACAATTATATGGCATAGACCACATAGTGGGTTTTCATTTGTGCATCTCTATCTTGGTGATAGGTGAGGAGACTCGTGAGAGCAACTTGTGTACGAATCTTAAGCCTTGCAATACCAACAACAATCAGTTCTAACAAATGATATAAAAGTAATTTCAACTTCTCAAATCAATATCATATCATATCAAATCCAACCATGCTGAGAAGAAATACAAATTCCCATCACCAATTGTTATTCTTTGCGACAGCAGGATACAAAATGTTCAAAAATTTCCAGTAGACTTTTTGGAAAGGCGATTCAAGACAGAAAGCTGGTAAGAATTATAAGAGGACTACCCCAAAGAGTGAATGATACTACAGAAATTTATCCATAGACAATGGCAATAATACATTCTAGAACAATATGGATTATGGATAAAGGATTACGCTTATGTCCAAACTCTCTCTATTATTTCTCTCTATACCTTTTCCTAACAATACTTTTTTCCAATCAATGGATAATGCCAAAAACATGCAGAGGCACAGAATTAACAATGTATTTGGGAGCCAAGTTGATTTGGAAAAAAATTGATTAAGACTAAATATTTGTAGAAAGTAAAACTACAAAAGTATGTGGAAATCTTTTATTTTCACTATTTCCATGTGTTATTATGGAAATACAAGAAAACAGGGTATTATCCTTTAAATTTATCATATTGATTTGCATAATTTTACACAGATATCCCCATCACTTCTAAGGGGAAAAAAGTATGAAAACAGCAAAATATAATTAAGGGATTTACCCATCATATTTACTCACTTTTTCTATTTTGTTATTTTCTGTTCAACAACCAAACATTGAAGAGCTATGAAATCTTATGTTACTTGGACATGGCTAAAATCGCGCAGTGTTTGTGTCAACACAACATGACACGGGATCCGTGTCCGACCCTTCACTATGCACTCGGACACTTCCATTAAAAGTGGAGAGGAAAAAAGAGGAGAAGCATGAAAGTAAACCATATCTTGTTTGAAGACCACCCATTGATATCAATCAATCAATCAAATCCTTAATCCCATAACGATGGGGTGGGCTAACATGAACCAAATTTGATTATTTCGTGTAATCATTGACATAAATCTTCTTCCTCCATCCCTTACAATCCAATACTTTATCATCATGCAAATCCATATATTTTATATTCTTCCTAACTTTTTCCAACCTGATCATTTTCGGTCTCTCTCCCTCGTTTAACCCCTCCATGGTCCCACTCTTCCACTCTTCGAACCGATGCACCCCGGGTCTCCGTCTTACATGCCCGAACCAACGCAGACGATTTTCCCTTAAATTATCTGCAATGCCTGCCACACCTAATTTCTTGCGAATAACCTCATTTTTGTATTTATCTCTTCAAGTGTTCCCACACATCCACCTCAACATGCGCATTTTCATAACCTCCATCTTTATAAAGTGCTCCTTAGAAGCCCAACATTCTATACCATAGAGCAACTGGTAATAGAGGGCAGTCCTGTAGAATTTGCCCTACAACTGTAAAGGAAACCACCATTGATATAGAGAAGATTTTTTTATTTTTTTTTATTTTTTTATAGGGATATAGAGAAGATGAAGAGAAGAAGATTGCCATTTATTAGAAGAATTTGTCGAGGAAAGAATTAAAATTACAAAAAAAATAGGGGTGGACTTAATGAAAAATTTAAAGCTTTTGTAATATATAATTTATATAAGTTTAAGTGACGTATTGACGTGTCCCCAAACCCATGTCCATATTTCGGTCAGAGTCCCCGTGTCCTAAAATTTTGGAACTTGTCGGATCGGACACTTGGACATGTGTCGTGTTCGACACCTATTCTCGAGTCCATGTAACATAGATGAAATCCTATTTATGCAATTTTACCCAATTTTTGTCACTGAAGCTTGATTCCGAAATCTCTACAAAATCAAGCTTTCAGTTTAAATCATGTGTTAAACAAAGTTGCCAGCATATATTATAATGAAAATTGGCTTGTTAGACATCAAACAATTTCCTCTTCATTCAATTTTTTCAAAATACTTCATTTGTCTTCTGCACCTGTTACAAACACTCAACATTCTAACAAGGGTATGGAAAACTTACACAAAAGGCTCAACCAAACTCTTCAACGATTCAATTATTTCAATCCACATAATTGTAGAAGAACATAAGAAAGAGAAGAATATGTGTGGATATGAGCTACAAATAAGCACGTCAATGATAACTAATAAGTAAGCCAAAAATATGTGTATGTATCTGTACATTTAGAACATGTTAAACAATCTTCTCATAATTTAGATATGTTCCATAGCCATGTTCCCACATCCAAGTACAATTTTTGGACATAGTCCACCTGTCTAACAATTGAAGTAAATCCCAAAGTGATTTGGGATCGGCTAACATGAACCTTGATAAAGAATCGTCCAAAACAGAACAGGAGTATAACAATATACATAGTAATTGATTGAATAAAAGTGTTTAAAAAAAATGTGTTAAGTGAGAAATAGAAAAATTATACAATTAAAAGTTAAGAGAGTTTGAAACAGTGGTAAGGTGATAAAAAGGGAGGAGAAACATGGGAGTAAAAACACAAAATTTTGAGAAAACTTTAGCGCAAGAAATAATTAAAATACGCAAAACACAGGTTGATGGTAAATAATAAAATACATTCTCAACATATCTGCTGTGATTCTCTTTCTATTTCAGAGAGGACAATTTGTCACAATTCTGTTTAGAGATCTATAATTTTAATCATCTTTCTTCATCTGATGAAATTCATTCTTTGACTAAAACTTAAAGATGGCAACACAGTGATTAATAATGAAAATCAGATAAAAGAAACAAGCAAGTGCACACAGAAAGGGCCAATCAAAGAAAACCTGCTAAAAGTCTAATACCTGATACAGAAGATATATTTCTCACGCAAACCAAGTGGAAGCTCATCGATAATGGCAGCTACTTTCTGTGTCAACTTCGGCTTGTTAGCATTTAAAATAACACCAAAAATATGTTTATGTGCTGCATAAGTGTTACAAGAAAGGAACAAAAATGCAAAGAAAAAACAATAAGAGAGGGGGTGGGGGTAAGTTTATCGACAACCACCTTGATGCCTTAAGTTTCTCTGACACAACCATATTTTATCCTACTAAAATAGCTTTATTAATATTTGTGTAACTGTCTATGGTAACCAATGACAAATCTGTTCTAACAAGATAGGTTTAAATTGACAATATCTTAAAAGAAGACCCAATGTACACTGAATTTTTTTTTTTTTTTGCACCTAAACTGTTAGATTTACACTAATATTATTGTACACCCAATGTACACTGAATTTTTTATTTTGCACCTAAGAGTGCAAACACATCCCCAAATTCCATTGACAGAACTCAAGGCAATGTGTCAACTAAATCTCCTGACTGTGAGTACAGTGGCATAATTTCAAGCCCTCTATTTATTAGGGATTTTTGCTACTTATGTGGGTTGTGTGACATCATAAAAATGGTACAATGAACATGCGGCATTTGAAGCGAGGGAAATACAGATGACCCTTTCTGGTGGTAAGCTTCTATGTTGGAGTTTGTTCAAAAAAAAAAAGTGAGCCGGTTGGGGGAAGGATTGGATAACTCTTTTTACATTTTTTTTAAATATATTACATTAGTTGGAATAAATAATTTTTCAGCATTATACCAAAGAATGTGATTGCAATGAGAATGATACATTTTGTTTTTACATACCAGCAATTCTTCACAATTGGACATGAAGTAATTTGATGCTAATTTAGAATTGATTGAAAAGTGTTCCTGCAAAATAAGAAACCAAATTAACGGCAACAGAGTTGACTAATGATCTAAATATATATGCTACCAAAATCAGCAAAGCCCTCTGATTCATTTATGTTAATTGCACCCACTGTAGCCTCAAAGACCAAAGTGCATTGATGAGAAAGTGTTGCATGACAAGATTGGAGAGAGGGAGTTGCATGTGGGGTTTCTAAGAAAAGTGTTGCATGTGGGTTTCCTGTAAGAAAAAGTAAGAGAGTGTTGCAAACGAGGTTTGTGTTAGAGAAAGTAGAAAAATATCCTCTCAACCCAGCAATAGCCTACAGAGATTGAGTTCATGTCTGCAATCATATTGCCAGATATAATCCGTATTTTATGTCCGCACCGGAGTTGGGTAGTATCGACATAGGTGCGGTAACCGGTAAGGCAATATGACAAGTCTGAGCATCACAACCTTCAGGTCACTGATAACCCCATCCCCCACCTTCCACAAGACAATGCTACCAGAATACATGCTAACAATTATTAAAATGGACTGGAGAGAATCCCTTAGCAACTTGAGAAAAGATGTTGAAGACCTCATGATTTAGAAGGGAGCCGAACAGAAATAGTGATTGAAACCCTCTCCCTCTCTTCCTCAATACAAACAGAGATGCCCTTATAATTTCAGAAAATATTGGTGTACACGATTTCTGTCAATACAAACAGAAGTCGAGACCCATAATACAGAAAATAAATGATACAGTAATAGCTATGTGATTTGTTGTTTCATGGGGGAGGATAGTGAGATAATTTACCAATATCTGGTACAATCCATTTTGTGGATTCGCTCTTGAATACATGAGCATAAGATCATAGCTCGGAAACAATCCCGCACACTGCAAAGAATATACATGATCAAAAATACAAAAAGGCAATAGACTTGTGACGTAAAAACCTATTTGCTTCATCTATAGAATGTTTCATAGGAAGCTATACAATAGAAACAATTCAAATGAAGTCCAATTACAGCTCCAGTAGTTTAACTTTTTCACCTCTAGGTCTGGAGATGGAGAGTTGAGTGATGAATGTAGTAGTGGTAGATCTTCCCCGTTTAGACATGTCACTTCACCAACTGGATACTTGGACCCAAATCTACCAGCTCTTCCTACAAGAACCATGGATCATCTCATAAAACAGTGATTAACGACAATTAAAGTCACATAACATGATATTTTACATATTCATCTTATTTCAAGAAACATGAATGTATTAGGGCTTGATTACTGTTACATCAAATAATCAAATTACCCATGTTTGCATTAATATTGCATCAACATATACCTATCACTGAAATTCAAAGATCACAGAAAGCAGAAATCTGCTGTAGGAGAAAAAAGAAAATGCAGGATGGAAGCACAAAACTCTATCTCCATAACACAGGAAAACTGAGCAGAAAAATTGCCTATGTATGGTACATGATATGTCCATTTTATATAGTGTTTTACCCCCGTCCCTTGGTTGTTATTAGTAGTGTTTTTGGCTCTTTCGGGCCACTTTTATTACTAATTTGTGTGTTCTAGTGTTTTCGTAGTTTTAATTGTTATTTTACAGGAAATTGCACTCTTGGAGCATTTTCCCGGGCTTTATGGATCAACTACGGAAGCTAGAAGGACACGACCACTTTCGGAGCCCAGGATCGGTGAGAGCCGGTGATTAAGGGCTCGGTAATTGGGATCCCGAGGCATTAGGACCAAGTAATCAAGACCCGAGGAGGAAATCCGGATTAGGCCGAGAAATCAAGCCCAATCGAAGTCCAAGCTCAAGGAGAATCAAGCGCCCGATCGGGCTACCTCTAGCACGATCGGGCGCGGCATGACCATTGTGCTAAGCGTGCTATAGCGCGCCCGGTCGTGCGAGCCTCTAGCACGATCGGGCGATGCTGCTTGGGAAGAACGCGAAGAAAAAGGCGCGCCCGATCAGGCGGCCCTTCGCCCGATCGGGCGCGCGTTTTTAGAAGACCTGATGATGTTTAGTTTTAATTCTTGTTTTAGAAAACGTTTAAATACGATTTTGTACGGAATTATTAGATTACGCTTTTCTTAGACTTTCTCTCTCTACTTAGTATTTTTCTCTCTCTTAAATTCTCTCTCAACTTTTGTTCTTAATTCTTCCTTTCATTCCACATTTATTTTTGGTAACAATTTCTTCCCTTTTAATTTCAGTTATTTTATTTGTTTTCTGGATTATGCTTTTATTTATTTACTTGATTGGCTTAGTTATGATGATGCGTGAGTAGTTTCATTCTAGGGTTTATGGGGATCCATAATTAATATGAAGGGATAGTTTGTTAATATTGATTATCGATATTGCATGATAATTTCTATTTGAATTGTTTTAATTCTTTGCAATTCAATTAGATTGTGAATGTTTAGCTATATCGAATTGATGAATCGAGCAGATGTTAATTTAATATTAAAGGCTATTTTCAATAAGAACTTAGATCTAGTAAATTGCGAGAGCCTGTTAGATCTATGTTGATTAATAAATTGCGAGAGCCTGTTAATCATGTTATCTGTGCATTGTTAATTATTAATTACTTTGTTCTATCCCGGAATATTAATTGTTGGTGAACCTGTGACCCTAGGCTTCCTTATTATTGTTTCTTTTCTCCATAAACTTATTCTTCGTAGTATAGAATTTATTCCCAAAAATATTGGTTACTTAGATAATTTATATTATAATAATTAATTAGAAGTAAAAAGACCTGTTTCCCTGTGGAGTTCGACCCTACTTCCCTATCTACTTTAGCTAGAGGACTTAGGTAATTATTTTTGATTAGGGGATACGACTTTACCAACTTATTACGAAACATCCTTCAAACATAAGGCCTAGGAAAAACTAAAAGCATACGATGTTTTACAGACGTCTGAACTCTGAAAACACTTGATCCAGAAAGATTTATCAATGCTATCATACAATTGGAAAAAAAAAAAAAAAAAAAAAGGAAATGAGGGAGGGAAGAAGAGAGAAAAAGAAAAAAATTGGTTTACATGTAACCTGTTGGTGAATATTCCAATGCAAAAATCCTAACCCCACCCCCCCCCCCCAGCGACCTCATGTTGTTAACATCATTCACTGTGTTGACAAGCGATGGAATTTTCATCATTTCATCGATGCATTTGCAGTTTTAAGAAAATCACGTCTCTTCTGTACAGTGGAGTTAATAAAAGTCACAGAATACAACAGACCTGCTATTTGCTTGATCTCTGGCACGGTCAGATCACGCATCTCTTGACCATCAAACTTTTGCAGCGTTGAAAATATGATTCTAGAAATATTTAAATTGAGACCCATTCCAATAGCATCACTAGCCACAAGAACATCAAACTCACTGGTAGCATCATTAAACATAGTTGCCTGCATTACTAAGCAAAAGATGATCTTAGTGAGTCTGATCAAACAGGTATCAGGGGCACAGAGAACAAAATATTAACCAAAAAGACTTGGAGTTATCACCAGGAGCAAGGAATGGAATAAGCATCAATTCAGTAAATATACTGTGCATAGACTGATTTAACACAAATTTTCAGCAACTTAGTATTATCTCTAATATTTAAGATGTGTAAAGATCTTATGAAAGCCCAAAGCATGTAGAAATGGAACGGTGGAAAATGTAAAGGTCAAATGCATCCGAAGGGAAGCATATATACATTGGAAAGGAAAAAATTCAATGTGACAAGAATATAAGCATGTTCAAAATATATTTCATAGAAGGGAGGCAAAAGAAAAGAAAAAGACAATGAAGAATAACAATAACAACAATAATTATGTCAAAAAAAAAAAAAAAAAAAAAAACAATAACAACAATAATAAAAAGAGAAATAAAGTAATAAATTTTTTGTTCCATGAAAGTTCAGGATTTAAAAAAATGAAATTAAAAAAATCTTCAACTGAATTGTAATCCCAAGGATCTTATTATGTTGCATGGAGAATAAATAAGAAATAGAGCTAGTACTTTTTTAATTGTCCAAAAAAAAAACTAAAGCTTTAGAAAGGGGCTTGTTAGGGTTCAAACTTTTTAAGTATTCTGGAATTAACTCCGCCAATAGTTATTACACCCATGTAACATCATGACTAACTAGAGATTATTTCAGTTATATGGCCAAATCTGGGATTGTTCATCTCCTAACAGTTATATGGCCCAATAACACTATTATTGACTAACTTTACAGTAGTAGGAGTTCTATCTGCCTTTCTGCTGAACTTTACACCAAAGATGTCCATTTTCTCATGGAGTTAATCCAAGACAAACCAAGAAGATAAGAAGCGTTTAGGCTGAATATTGTGAATATAATTGAAGCATTTAGGCTGAATATTGTGAAATATAATTGATGAATCTGATATCAATTTGATGTGTATTTTTACTCCTAATCAATTTAAGAAGCAAAGTCTGATTAATCCAAGTATAAGTATTCGACATTATTTGAAATTTGCTCATATTTATATTCAATTAAATTAAGGAAAGACGCAAGAACGTCCATAGAGGTTTACAGCTTGTCCAGGAAGTAAAGTCTGATTAAACCAAGTATAAGTATTATATGAAATTTGCTCAAATTTATATTCAATTAAATTAGCAAAAGACGCAAGAACGTCCACAGAGGTTTACAACTTGTTCTTCGGTATCTTTGTCTTCGTTTCTTGAGTTACTCTTTGTTCCGAATGCAAGTTAACACTTTTTTTTAGGGGAAGAAATCTTCACCGAATTCGTATAGGTGCCAATCGAATTTGAAGGGACCCATGCCATATTGAGGTTCCTTGACTTAGGGATTAAATCTGGTTCACTTGTACTTAAAGGTGTCAATTAAATTTAAAGGGACCTATGCCATATTGAGGTTCCTTGACTTATGGATTAAATCCAAAGAGGTTGCAATTTTTGTGTTATGGTGGCAAGTGGAAGACATACACCCCGTAAGTGTGAATGAGGGATTCATGGGGTTTTGATCTTCCTTGGTGCAAAGTTGAAGAAACTTTTTGTTAGTAGGGTTTTGGGATAGTAGGGATTCAAATGTGGTTGTAGGGGTCTCTATCACTTGGGGTTGAAATAGTAAGGGTTGGGTAGTAGAGGTTTTGGGTTGGGTAGTAGAGGTTTTGGGTTGGTAGTAGGGGTTCTAACAGTAGGGGTTTGGAAATAGTAGGGGTTCTTTTAGTAGGGGTTAGGGTTCTAACAGTAGGGGTTGGTTGTATGGGTTTGGAAATAGTAAGGGTTCTTTCAGTAGGGGTTGGGAAATACTAGGGATTCTATCTATCAGTACGGGATGGGGTAGTAGGGGTTGGGATAGTAAGGGTTCAAATGGGGTAGTTAGGGATGGGACCGAAATGGATCGAAACCCGGAATAAGCATTTTTTAAGGACCGGGGACCGCGCCGTATTCTGCCGGTCCGGTCACGATCTGGACCTATTTAATACGGTCCGTTCCGGTTTTGGACCGGTTGGGACCGACTTCATCCTTTTTTTTTTCCTGCATTTTAACAACATTGCTAATCTTCCCTGCTATATTTTTTAACCTGTTTGTTCTATTTTTTTAACCTGACTTCCGAGCCGGACTGACTTCCGGTGAGGGCCGTGAGGCGGCGACGACTGGAGTGATCGGAGTTGCAGGTTGCGGAAAACGAAGGAGTGTTTAAATTGATTTTAATCCCAACTACCCCTAGGAGTAGGTGCACCAAAAAGTTATTGTACGCAACACTTTTAGTAACATTTCGGATAAACGTTGCAAGACTGAATGAAAATATTGGCGGATATTTAAATTTTAAGTTGAAATTTTAACCTCAACCTTATTTCTCTCTCTTACCACATTTTCCTTCTTTTTTTTTCCGACCCTAAAATACACTCTAATCGTCTGTAAGGACTGTAACACTCTATCCAAGGAGCAACAGCGTCGAGCAGCAGCATCATCATGCCGGTTTCCGTCGCCCCTGTCAAAGGTCAGTTTTGCTCTTCAATTTTTTATCCTCAAATTTTGCATATATGCTCGAAATTGTCGAAGCTAGGGCTCGAATTGGGGCTTTTGATTTTTGCCCAAAATTTTCTCAAATTCTTGCTTGTTTGTGCTTATTTTTCTTGAGAATGATGTATTCTTGTAGTATTTTGTGTTTAAACTTGAATTCCAACTTGAATTGTTCGAAATTGTCAAAAACTTGAATTGCTCGAAATTGTCAAAGCTAGGGCTCGAATTGGGGCTTTAGATTTTCGCCAAAATTTTTCTCGAATTCTTGCTTGGTTGTGCTTAGTTTTTCTTGATAATGATGTATTCATATGTTTGAACTTCAATTCGAGTTTGAATTGCCCAAAATTGGCCTTTTTTGTCCCAACATATGCACGAATTTTTGGTTTGATTTTTAATCAAATTTGCTTGTTTAGATGCTTGATTATGCTTATGAATTAATGTGCCCAAATGTGGGATTTCTTGAATTGTTGGTTTGAGACTTGCACGATGTTAGTAGTGATGCTGGTTGAAATTCATTGTTGTGTATATGCTCTTGTTGAGTTTATGCTATACGATATTTCGGATCCATTTAAATTACTTTGTCAATTCATGTTTTTTATGTCAATTCATGTTGTGATGAATTCAAGTAAAATTGTATGTAAAATTCCCCTAATTTGATAGTGCTGTTATGGAAATGGACTCGTGCTAGTTTAATATTTTTCCTTTATTTGTAAGTTTAAATATTTTAATTAAGGTTAATTTAAGGTTTAATTAAGATTTAAGATTTGAGTTTACTGTGTTGCGTGTTATGTCTACTTGTACACTTCATGTTAGGTATAATTGTCTAATGTATTCATGTTTTTTGATAAGGTATAATTTGTCATCAACATGAGTGAACTTCCTCAGAGAGTGAAATGTGCTACTAGCCTAGGTAAAATTGTTAAACTATTTCAGGATTTGAGGGAAAAAAACAAAACAGACTTATTAAGTTCTTCCATTTTTAAGAAATTGATAAATCTAAAAAAACGACCGAAAGGCTAGTGGGCCTCTAGCACATGAGCTCTATAATGTGTTTGATGGGACACAGTTTGTCTTCAACCCATCTACGACAATGCAAATATGCAGCCATGAGGTGGCATCGGTCCTTGGTATTGCAGATACCGGGATCGTGATTGATCTCTCTAAGTTGAAACACTGTTTTATTTTTCCTTCTTACCTCTCCCTTTTAATAAGGGGGGAAATACCCCTGTTTGCCTCTGATCTTAGGGATAGTTATGTTAAAATGGAGATTGGAACAAAGGAGGATGAGGTAATCTTTCAAAAACGGTTTACCTTGTTTGTCAAGATCAAGTACCAAAAGGTTAATTCAAAATTGTTTGAATTAGCGGATGATTTAGAGAAGGTTAATTCTTTGAATTGGCCTGAAATTGAACTTGGTCATCTAAAAAAAGGTTTGATTGAGTCCGAAGCTGCTTTGGCTAAACCGGGAAAACAGCATGTTTGGCTGTTCACCCGGTTCGCCAAAGCAGCTTTGGACTCAAGCAAACCTTTTTTTAGATGACCAAGTACAATTTCAGGCCAATTCAAAGAATTAACCTTCTCTAAATCATCAGCTAATTCAAACAATTTTGAATTAACATTTTGGTACCTGGTCCCACGGCAAAGAAATTGGTCGATGACAAACACGGTAAAACGTTTTTGAAAGATCATCTCATCCAACTTTGTTCCAATCTCCATTTAAACGATACTATCCCTAAGATCAGAGGCAAATAGGGGGTTTTCCTCCCTTATTAAAGGGGAGAGGTAAGAAAGAAAAATATAACAGTGTTTCAACTTAGAGAGATCGATCACGATCCCGGTATCCGCAATACCAAGGATCGATGGCACCTCATGGCTGCATATTTGCATTGTCGTAGATGGGTTGAAGACAAACTGTGTCCCATTAAACACATTACAGAGCTCATGTGCTAGAGACCCACTAGCCTTTCGGTCGTTTTCTAGATTTATAAAGTTCTTAAAATGGAAGAACTTAATAAATCTATTGTTTTTTTCCCTCAAATCCTGAAATAGTTTAACAATTTTACCTAGGCTAGTAGCACATTTCACTCTCTGACGAAGTTCACTCATGTTGATGACGAATTATACCTAACAAAAAACATGAATACATTAGACAATTATACCTAACATGAAGTGTACAAGTAGACATAACACGTAACAGAGTAAACTCAAATCTTAAATCTTAATTAAACCTTAAATTAACCTTAATTAAAATATTTAAACTTAAAAAAAAAAAAAAAAATATTAAACTAGCACGAGTCCATTTCCATAATAGCACTATCAAATTAGGGGAATTTTACATACAATTTTACTTGAATTCATCCCAACATGAATTGACATAAAAAACATGAATTGACAAAGTAATTTAAATGGATCCGAAATATCGTATAGCATAAACTCAACAAGAGCATATACACAACAATGAATTTCAACCAGCATCACTACTAACATCGTGCAAGTCTCAAACCAACAATTCAAGAAATCCCACATTTGGGCACATTAATTCATAAGCATAATCAAGCATCTAAACAAGCAAATTTTATTAAAAATCCAACCAAAAATTCGTGTATATTTTTGGACAAAAAAGGTTGAAGTTCAAACATAAGAATACATCATTATCAAGAAAAACTAAGCACAACCAAGCAAGAATTTGAGAAAAATTTTGGCGAAAATCAAAAGCCCCAATTCGAGCCCTAGCTTTGAAAATTTCGAGCAATTCAAGTTTTCGATAATTTCGAGCAATTCAAGTTCGAATTCAAGTTTAAACACAAAATACTACAAGAATACATCATTCTAAAAAAAATTAAGCACAAACAAGCAAGAATTTGAGAAAATTTTGGGCAAATATCAAAAGCCCCAATTTGAGCCCTAGCTTCAACAATTTTGAGCATATATGCAAAATTCGAGGAAAAAATTGAAGAGCAAAACTGAACTTTGATAGGGGCGACAAAAATCAGCACGATGACGCTGCTGCTGCTCGACACTATTGCTCCTTGGATGGAGTGTTACAAACGATTGGAGTGTATTTTAGTGTCGTAAAAAAAAAGAAGAAAAATGTGGTAAAAGAGAAAATAAGGGTGAGGTTAAAATTTCAACTTAAAATTTAAATATCCGCCAATATTTTCATTCAGTCTTACAACGTTTATTCGAAATGTTGATAAAAGTGTTGCGTACAATAACTTTTTGGTGCACCTACACCTAGGGGCATTTGGTATTAAAATCAATTTAAACACTCCTCCGTTTGCCGCAACCTGCAGCTCCGATCACTCCAGCCTTGGCCGCCTCACGGCCCTCACTGGAAGTCAGTTCGGCTCGGAAGTTCGGTTCAAAAAAAAGAACAAACAGGTTAAAAAAATAGCAGGGAAGATTAGCAGTGTTGTTAAAATGCAGGAAAAAAAACGGATGAAGTCGGTCCCAACCGGTCCAAAAACGGAACGGACCGTATTAAACAGGTCCAGACCAGACTGGCAGAATACGGTCCGGTCCCCGGTCCTAAAAAAATGCTTATTTCGGGTTTCGATCCATTCCTGTCCAGCCCTAACTACCCCATTTGAACCCCTACTATCCCAACCCCTACTGAAAACCCCTACTATCCCAACCCCTACTGAAAACCCCTACTACCCCATCCCCCAACCTCCACTGATAGATAGAATCCCTACTATGTCCCAACCCCCTACTGAAAGAACCCCTACTATTTCCAAACCCCTACAACCAACCCCTACTGTTAGAACCCCTACTACCAACCCAAAACCTCTACTACCAAACCCCTACTATCTCAACCAGACCCCCTACAACCACATTTGAACCCCTACTATCCCAAAACCCAACTAACAAAAAGCTTCTTCAACTTTGCACCGAGGAAGATCAAAACCCCATGAATCCCTCATTCGCCCTTACGGGGTGTATGTCCTCTACTTGCCACCGTAACAAAAAAAACTGCAACCTCTTTGGATTTAATCCATAAGTCAAGGAACCTCAATATGGCATAGGTCCCTTTAAATTCAATTGACACCTTTAAGTCCAAGTGAACCAGATATAATCCCTAAGTCAAGGAACCTCAATATGGCATAGGTCCCTTCAAGTTCGATTGGCACCTATACGAATTCGGTGAAGATTTCTTCCCCTCAAAAAAAGTGTTAACTTGCGTTCGGAACAAAGAGTAGCTCAAGAAACGAAGACAAAGATACCGAAGAACAAGTTGTAAACCTCTGTGGACGTTCTTGCGTCTTTTGCTAATTTAATTGAATATAAATTTGAGCAAATTTCATATAATACTTATACTTGGATTAATCAGACTTCGCTTCCTGGACAAGCTGTAAACCTCTATGGACGTTCTTGCGTATTTCCTTAATTTAATTGAATATAAATATGAGCAAATTTCAAATAATGTCGAATACTTATACTTGGATTAATCAGACTTTGCTTCTTAAATTGATTAGGAGTAAAAATACACATCAAATTGATATCAGATTCATCAATTATATTTCACAATATTCAGCCTAAACGCTTCAATTATATTCACAATATTCAGCCTAAACGCTTCTTATCTTCTTGGTTTGTCTTGGATTAATTCCATGAGAAAATGGACATCTTTGGTGTAAAGTTCAGCAGAAAGGCAGATAGAACCCCTACTGTTATATCAATTTAAGTTGTGTGGCAGAAATCTGGGATATTCATCTTCATTCAATTATATGACTAACTTGGGATTACTTAAGTAACTTGGTTATATATTTAGGGATATAAATGCCCGCACACTATTCATAAAAGCTCAAAAAAAAAAAAAAAAAAAAAAAAAAAAGTAGTTAACAAACATTTTTAAGGATATAAACATTCATCAGAGTTTGCTTGAATTTTTAAAAGTTAGGGATATAGCCCAAAACACTGATATTCAACTTTCTGCCTTGGGTGTAACATCTAGAAACTTTCCAATCCCTTAAGATCTAACTCATAGTCTAACCTTATAGGATTAGAGAATATTTCATCGATTACTAAACGCAGAAAATATCCATTTTCTACATAGGTAATCAATTTTAAACAAAAGTAGGTCCTAAAAACACTACTGAACCTCCAATTCATGGCTTGGTTCTTTACATGAAAGTTTCACATCATCCATTGGGTTGCATATACCGAAATACTTTATCACATTTAAATATGAGACATGTTCAGCCATCCCAATAACCAGTTCAGTGAAATCTTCAATCTTTGCCTTGAACCCAACAGAACATAAAGGTTGCTGAAACTCATAATATGTAGAACGCATGAGAATATACAATGTCATTACCTGTCTAGTACGAGTTTCCGGGGGTAGTGAACCGTACACAACAGAGCAAAGATGATTTCCCTCATTTTCAATTTTTCTCTGAGAAATAGACGAGAAATCTGATTAGATATGACACTAACCAGCAGCATACATAAAATTACAATCTGGTTAGATGTGACACTACCAGCAGCATAAAATAAAATTACGAGTGCATTTCACAAACACTCAAACCTAACCAAGAAGCCAACAATACACAAAGACCCGCAAATAAAGTCATCATTAGACAAGAAACAAAGAAAAACATCAGTAGTGAATCTCAAAAGAGGGCCATACTCATCTATAAAACCATCATGATGGATTATATACTCATTTTTTTAGTGGATAGAGACAATTCTCTTTATAAACAAGAATCTCTTTTAGAGTGCAACAAAACCCAGCAAAAAGAACGTAACACAGTATAGAGTAGTAATACATTTTTTTATATAGTTAGGACAGATCGTGTATAAAAAATTCTGCATACCCAATAATATCAATCTAGCTAAAAAGCTAATATACAACCACCCGAACACCATGGAGATACTTAGAACAAATAAGTGAAGTATACAAAATCAAGCGAGTGACAAAAAACTATTTCAGATGAAAATACTCCCTCCATTTTCTTTAATTGCAACACTTTCTATAATCAGCCTTTTTTTAATCTCAACACTTCCTTAAATGGAAATACTCATCACTATTTTATTATATCCGTTTCCTCAAATGGTCCCCACTCCTACCCTGCTCACTCTTTTATAATGTTTCTCTTCTCTCACATCCCTTACTTTTACATAAATTATTCACCCACTATCACTTTCTTTTCATTTTTTAACTCCCAACAAACCCCAGTTACACAATATTATTACAAATTCAACTCAATCGCATAAAACTCTGTGATGGTCAAATTGTTGCAAGTAAAAATAGAGGGAGTAGAATGTAATATCTTCTTTTTACATTGACATGTCATTAAAGTAAGGAAATTTTGACAAATAACACCTTTTATAACCCTTTTGTTGTAAAAAACAACTTATAAATATTTTTTTGTTAAAACACACCTAAAACCAGAATTTTTTTTTCAAGAACACACCTTAGGGCGGTTTTAGGAGGATTGACTCGGTTTTACGACGTTGATCATCACGTGCCGACACCCTTCCTTTCTTTTTCCCCCTTTTTTCTCCAATTACTTTCTCTCTCCTCAAAACAACCGAGCCACAACCTAGACAACCCAGCCGTACACCACCACCCACCAACCTAGCCGCCATCACTAGCCACCTAAATCATTCGAAACCCACCACATACACCATACATCACCCTCCAAAACTACTAGACCCACCATGAAAACTACCCCAAAAAAAAACTTTAAGCATCTCCATAAACACCCCTAACCACCTCATAAGCAACCCCAAACATCGTGACAAAAACCCTAAACACAAACCAATAGAGAGAGAAGAGGGTTGGTAATGGGTTTTCCCCCTTTCATACCTCCAATTAAAACCCTAAACTAAGGTAAATAAAAAAATGACAAAATTAGCAATCAATTTCATTGATTTTAACAACTTACCTTCCTCAAAATTAGGTTAATTAAGGTTCTTTGTAGCAATTTGAGCAAAACAATGGAGTTAATTAATTGAGCAAAAACGAAGGTTTGTTGCTAGGAAGAACGGATGAGAAAGAAAGTCTAATTAGAGGGGAATAGGGGGAAAAAAAAGGAAGGGGTTTTTTCAAGAGGCTAATGATGGCGGCTAGGTTGGTGGGTGGTAGTGACGGCGGTTGGGTTGGCTAGGCGGTGGTGTCGGTGTCGACGGCTGGGTTGGTTAGGTTGTGGTTTGGTGGTTTTGAGGAGAGAGAAAATAATTGGAGTAAAAAGGGGGAAAAAGAAAGGAAAGGTGTCGTCACGTGACCTTCACGTGATGGTCACCGAAAACCGAGTCAATCCCTCTAAAACCGCCCTAAGGTGTGTTCTCGCAAAAAAAAAAAAAAAAAAAAAAAAAAAAAAAAAAAAAAAAAAAAACTGGTTTTAGGTGTGTTTTAACAAATAAATAAATAAAAATAAAATATAAGGTGCTTTTTCACAACTACAGGGTTATAAAAGGTGTTAAATTTTCCTTCAAGTAATTGAACTTCAAGTTGACAGTGTACAAGAACTTGTACATGATTGGCTAAATAATGGAGGAATATTTAAGAATACTTGCAAGTACTATAGAGCGCTAAGAACAGCAATTTCAGCCGTATAAATTAAACTTGAAGTAAGAAAATAATGTTTGTGTTTCCATCTTTAACGCCAGATACCGATCCAAATAAGCCTTTGTTCTGTCCTAATGAGCATCTTTGGGTGAATCCTAAAAAAATCTACTCCCTCCGTGTTTTAATAAGGGTTATATTTAATTGACTTAAATAAAATAAGAGGTAAGTGGGGTAGTTAGAGTATTGAAAAAATTGTAAAAGAAAGGTAGTGGGGTTAATAGTGTATTGAAAATTAATGGGAGGTGTCAATTTGGGTGTATTTCTAGAGAACATGCCACTTTGGGTTTAAACGTATTTTTCTCAGGTTGTGTTGGTTATTAACAGCTTAAGTAATTTTTCCATCATATTTTGCACAAATGTAGTCGAGAAATCCATAATGCATAGCTGTGCTATAACAGATACAAGAAAGAACAAATGTTGAATGCAAAATCAAACAAGAAAACACACGGAATTTACATGGTTCACCAACAATGTGTTAACACAGGCAAGAGTAATAATTTTATTAATCTTGAGGAATAACAGATTACAAATTTAGGAAACCAATAAATGGAAAAACAGAATGATCAATGGACAGAATGATCTTCTCTCGGATGCTATCTCTCGTAATCTCTTTAAGATCTCAGATGAAAGATACAACATAAAACTCTCAAATTTCTGAAGTACTTGGCTCCCTATACAGTGCTCCCTATAATAGCATATATAACCCATGTATAAGAAAATAAATCCCGCGTGAAAACCAGCCTAACAACCAGTGCCAACCCAAAATCTAACCCAGGAAAGTGAACATGAACTTAACCAAACATCCACCATTCGGCACGGACAGCGAACCCCTTGCAATTCTTCCCAAAATCCCCGACGAGGCACAGACGTGAGACATGCCTCCCTATGGCATGGCGTGTCTCCGTACTACTTCCTAGCCACAATTTAAGGCACATTTCTTTCAGTTATAAATATCTCATGTATAGCTAAACAATTTTGTGAGACAAAAGGGTTAAGGAACATAAACTTTTGATCTATTACACTGTTACACACATTTACAAGCTTCCTAAACATCAACAAAACATTGATACTTATTTTGTCAATAGGAGCTTTAGTAAGTTATGAAATTCGAGTCAAAGAAATGTGTTAAATAAGATCAAGTGAGCCATGGAAGCCGCTTTCGATGAATGAGAACTAGCAACGATTAGACACTCTTAAGAAAGGGTTTATAAATCACCAAAGAGCTCCTATAAAAGATGTATTTGTGTGGATATGTCTAGAATAGGCGTATCTAGAGAAGCCATGTATCTAGAACACTTGTTGCATGATATGAGAATAATCTAGAAATAAGGCTAAGATTCGAGGGGCATATAAATAGGCACAAAGGCATCATTTGTATATCATAAAGGGAATGCAAGCAGTCTTTTTCAAATATTTTCTCAAATTATTCTTCCTTTAACCTTCCCCCCACATCTCATAGACAAAGTAAGGGAGAGGAAAAATGGACACCAAGTGCGCATCAAAGAGTATACATACAAATAGCTAGCGAGACACACTTGTGTGCAAAACTTCCTACATCCAAGAAGTGTAACCTTGGTACCTAGACACAAGAGGTGTACTTGAATAAGGATGGTGCCAGCATTATATATCACCTCATATTATGTCATCGATATAGGAAGCCCCACTGCAACAAGTGCCAAGTGGCATACAGTATGTGATGTGCTTTGCAAACAACCAAAGTAATTAACACATGACAAAGAACCTAAATTCCTGTCTTCCTATCTTTACCAAGCCCCAGACTGCTCTCCCGCTCTCCTCTTTGCATTACCAAGCCCCCACACATTTTTCTCTTCCTCCCTAACCCCAAACCCCTATCTCCTCTTCCCAATAACCTAGCTCTGCACGTACTCTATATTCAACCACAAAAAGCTACAGCAATAGCTAGACAGGCTACGATAATTACCGGATGGCAATCCCAATAGGTAAGAGAAAGAGAGAGAAAGTTGTGAAGTAATCTTCTGAAAACAAATTATTCTGCCCTAAGTCTCCAACTTACTTAGCAACCTAACTTGCACCTTTCTAACCTTTAAGGGTGGAGTAGCAAACCATTATACACAACAAAGAACTCTACTAGGAAAAATAAAAATAAAAAAAATTCTCTCATCTTCCAACCCTTCATCGATAATAGTTGTAATAACAAAAGCAAATTGCAGTATCAAATCACCACTTACAAACAAAAAATAAACAAACAATTGACAATAAAAATAAAAATAAATAAAAATCAAAAATATAAAATATAAAAAAATCAAATTTAAGTGTCCTTTAATAATAAAATGAGTAAACAATTAACAATTTTAGTAGAGGTGTCAAAACCACACCTGACCCGATCCGATCTGAATAACCGACTCGAAAAATATCAGATTTCGACTCTCACATGGACACAATAAGTTAGCATGATTTAACTTTAAAACTTGACCCGACCGACCTCACCGAACCCGATCCGAACACCCGAAATGACACCTTTATTTTTTAGTGCAGCTCATAAAGTCTACAAAATTTGTAGAGTCGTACAATCCGATCCTAATAGCCCTCAAGTAGAATCTCAATCCTAATACTCCCTCTGTCCTTTTATTTTTGCCCCATTTGACTTTGTGTGGTCTCCTAGACACGTGTTAAGACGTTTATATCTTCATTTTCATAAGTGTAAAGTTGATATTAATTGACTTTACAATGAGACGAACCAAACAAAATCCCACATGACTATATTTCCTTTTGTAGAACGGAAATTTGTGGTCAAAGTTTGACCCACATTTTGGCAATGGAGCAAAAAATAGGGACGAAGGGGGTAACATTAAAGCTACTTGTACAGTCATAGAAATCCACACCCCATAAATAGAAATAATCAATAGAAATATGGGTAAAAAGTAGGCAGCTTACTTTAAAATTATATATTTGACGACGTGAAAAGGTAACTATGCAATCCCCCTTTTTTATATTCTTAAATGATCCAAGAGGCACCTTTGATGGTTCCAGAGGTGATAACCTATCATAATATTTTATCTGCATAACAAACAGGGATAAAGAAGTAAAAAAAAAAAAAAAACAAAGCAAGGAAAGAAACAACATATATTAGCTGATAAAGAAGCAACATTGGCTTTTGGCACAAGCTTTAAAGAAGAGATCAAGGAGAGTAAATGACAAATCACAATAATAAAGCAGCCAATACCCTTACACATCCCTCTTACTTGTGTTCAAATTATTTAAAAAATTTGTTCGTTTACCTTCTCTAATTAATTCCTCTAAAGTCTCTGCCATGAGGCAATATAGCTTGTCATAGTCTTTTGAGGCAATACATTTATAATAACTTCTTTTAGTCTTTTGAGAATCTTATCATTCTATATTATGATCTAATTCATATTAGTTAATTTTAAATTCATTTTTTTTTAGTTGACAATACCAAATTCATGAGACTCGAAGGGTTAATAAGATGTGATAGCGTTAACAAGGCTATATTCTTTCTAACAAAAAACCAGTTATCATACTTTACAATAGTTAATTCTATTACTTAGACGAGTTGATGCATTCTTTGAACTTATAATCTGAGTCCTCAAACATGAACAACGTTATTTATAATATGATAATGTACTCTTCTGGATAAATTTGATCCAGATACTAGTGATAGCACAATTACACCTGTAGAGCATTTGAATGATGCTATATAGCCATAAGGTGTGGCATTTTATAATCGTTCTAGGGTAGAATAACCTAATTTAATGCTCATCCGAATCACGGCAAGTGTATCAAATATTTAGTTCTTACAAGTGAAGTTTGCTAAGACTAGATTCAACTAATTTTCTTTTTTTTTTTTTTTTTTTTTGAAGCCACTAACTTTCTTAATTATTCATTTGCAAGAAAATGAATTGATCACAGCCATAATTTTGCATTTTAATTGCTAATATTATGCTTACCTACATGGACTTGAATGAAAGGGCTTATATTTGTCAAAATCTTTTATAATCCAACCCGTATTTTGGTGGCTTGTAAACATTAGTTGGTAATCTTGGTAATCATCATGACCTCAATTCCAAAATATTTGAGCCACAGAAGGTAGGGGTGGCAAAAACTGACCCGACCCGAAAACCCGACCCGAACCCAACCCGAAAATAGCGGGTTAGGGTTGAGAATTTCGACACGGAAACTTAAATGGGTTGACACGAACCCGACCCGAAATTAAATGGGTTAGGTTAAGGTTGAAAATTTCAACCCGAAAATAATTTTCGGGTCAAAATCAGGTCGGGTCAACCCGAACCCGACCTTATAACCCGAATAAAAAAGTCTTAAAAAAAAAAAATCATTTTAATGGCTAATGGCCCAAGCCCAATTTAAAGTTCTAAACCTAAAAAAACCCTAAATGTGACTAACCCCCACCAGCCGTTTTTGTCTCCTATTTTCTCATTTTGCCCTCTCTCTCTCTCTCTCTCTCTCTCTCTCTCTCTCTCTCTCTCTCTCTCTCTCTCTAAACTTCTCTGGTTCTCATTTTCTCAACAATCTCAAGTTCTCACAAGTTCTCAGACACTCCACACTCACTCTTTCCTTCTAGTTCTTTCTCACTCTTTCGTTCTCAAGTTCTCAACTTTTCCCTCTTCTCACTCGTTCTCACTCCTCAAACGCCTGAAGGTAATGGTTATTAATTGTTTTTTATTTCGTTTCGTTTTTGTTTTGAATTTCAAGTTCTGATTCTGAATTTTCCATTCTTGTTTTTTTTTTTTTTCAAATCTTCAAATCTTCATCTCCTTCAAGCCGTCAAACCTCAAACTCTCAAAGGTAATTCTTTTTTAATTTTTGTTGTTTTTGTTTCGATTTTTGTTGTTTTCGTTTCTGTTTTGTTGTTTTCGTTTCGGTTTTGTTCTTGATTTTTGATGTTTTTTTTTTTTGTTTCAATTTTTTTGTTTTCGTTTCGAGTTTGGTTGTTTTCGTTTTGGTTTTGTTGTTTTCGTTAGTTTTGTTCTTGATTTTTGTTGTTTTTGTTTCCGTTCCATTTTTGGTTGTTTTCGTTTCGAGTTTGGTTGTTTTCATTTCATTTTGGTTGTTTTCGTTTGGTTTGTTCTTGATTTTTGTTGTTTTTGTTTCTGTTTCAATACAGATTTGTATTTGATTATTGTTGTTGTTCTTGCATGATAATAGTATTAAGTTTATATAACGTATGATGGGTTGCTTTGTAAATTTCTAGCACAATAATCCAATTCCTGATCTAATTTACAGCAAGAATATATCTTTGACATGCATGTGATTTTTTTTTTTTAATTTTAGGTCTGATTTAGATTATATCTCTAGCTTGTTGTTGTTGACTTGTTGTTTATTTTATATTGTTGTTCTTGTCCAAATAATTTCTGATTTTTTGCGGTAATTATGGATGTTGATGTTTAGATTATATCTCTAGAAAGAATAGATCAGTTTTTGTCTCTTGTTTTAAAATAAATGTTTTATTTTGTTATAATTTTTGCAGTAATTATGGATGCCGATGTTCAGCAACTTTCTTCCGAGGAAGAGGAGATTGACTCGACAACACAAGACAAAGGAAATGGTAAAAACCAGAAAACTTCTCCTGGTAAACCTCGTGTGATTCTTACTGGTAAGAAACGTCAACGCCTGATGAAAATGGTAATCTAATTTGCAAATGTAAAAAGTGTGGTATACATTTTAATGCTGATAGTAAGAATGGAACTTGGAATCTTTATCGTCATTTGAAAAATTGCAAACAAAGGTCTTTTAGGGATGTTGGTCAAATGATATTAGAGAAAACATCCTCTGGTTTAGGAAATAGATTGCGTGAATTTGATGCTAATTATTTCCGTGAATTATTATCTCTTGCTATTGTGGAGCATGATATGCCATTTCAGTTTGTAGAGTTCAAGGGTTTTAGGAGATGTTTTAATTATTTGCATCCTGATTTCAAACCTGTCACTCGAAATACTATCAAATCTGATGTACTTAAGATGTATAAAAGAGGGAAAGAAAAATTAAAAGTTGTTTTGGGCTCAACTTGTAGTAGAATTGCATTGACTTCTGATTGTTGGACTTCTATAACCACTGATGGTTATATTTCATTGACAACTCATTATGTTGACAAGTCTTGGTGTTTGCAAAAAAAGATTTTGAACTTTTCTTACATTGGTCCTCCCCATACAGGAATTCATTTATGTGATCATGTGTATGGTTTGTTAAAAGAATGGGGTATTCAAAAAAATATTTTTTCAATTACATTAGATAATGCTTTTTCAAATGATGTTTTTGCTGAAAATCTAAAAGGGGAACTTGAGTTGATTTGTGGTGGGGAATTTTTTCATGTAAGGTGTTGTGCTCACATTCTTAATTTATTTGTTCAAGATGGTTTAAAAGAAATTGATGAGGCTGTGTATAAGATTAGAGAGAGTGCCAAATATTGTAAGAGTTCACAAGCTAGGAAACAAAGGTTTTTAAGTTGTGTATCACATGTTGAAATTCAATCTACTAGAATTTTACAACAAGATATTCCTACTAGATGGAATTCAACTTACATGATGCTTGATTGTGCTTTGTATTTTAAAAAAGCTTTAATTCACTTTCAAAAAGTTGATGCCAATTATGTACATTGTCCTTCTGTTGAAGAATGGGGTAGAATTGAAAAAATATGCAAGTTTTTGAAAGTTTTTCATGATGTCACACTTGCCTTTTCTGGGACCAAATATCCAACTTCCAATCTCTACTTTCATAGAGTCTTACAAGTTAGGTTGTTGTTACAAAATGAAATGAAAAGTTCAGATCTTTTTATGCAAAAAATGGCTTGTAAAATGTATGAGAAATTTGGAAAGTATTGGTCAGAATTTAGTACATTTATGGCTGTTGCTGTGGTGTTGGATCCACGATATAAGTTGCAATGTGTCAATTGGGGTTACATGAGGATATATGGTCAGCATAGTGTTGAATACGAGCTTGAGTTTTCTAAGGTTAAGGATGCTTTACGGAGGTTGTACGAGGCTTATGCATCCAATCATTCTTCATCAAGCAATGTTATTCCCACTGCTAATGCTTCCAATGCTAATGCTAATGAAGCTTCCAATGATTTTATGATGGTAAACAACTTTCTGAGTTTCTGTCTTTCTGATGCATTTACCTTTATTGCAAGTGAAAACATATCCTGATTTAATAATCTGATTTTTTATAATCTGATTTTATTATAATCTGATTTTATTATATCTGATTTATTATATTATAATCTGTGATTTATTGTACTATAATCTGATTTTTATTTTCTGATTTTTTGTGTCATGGCGTCATGCTACTCATATAATTTGATTTATTGTATTATAATCTGATTTATTGTATTATAATCTGATTTTCTTATAATCTGATTTATTATATTATAATCTGATTTTATTGTATGATAATCTGATTTTTATTTTTTGATTTTTTGTGACATGCTACTCATGTAATCTAATCTTGGTATATAGGATTTTGATAGTTTTTCTATGGAGCAATCAAATGTGGCAATCAAATCTGAAGTTGATATGTATTATGAGGAGCCACTTATCCCCCGAGGCACCAACCTTGATATTTTGTCTTATTGGAGAACTTGCTCGGTCCGGTATCCTATATCAGCTAAAATTGCTAGGGATGTTCTTGCTGTCCCCATATCAACTGTGGCCTCCGAATCAGCTTTTAGTACTGGAAGTCGAGTGCTTGATTGTTATAGAAGTGCTTTAAAATCAGAAACAGTGGAGGCTATAATTTGCTTAAGGGATTGGGATTGGGATTTTGGGGAAGGTAAAAAATGAGTTAGAACTATTATATTACTTGTAAATTATCTTTTATTTTTAGTACATGTGTTGATTTTAATTTGCTATCTTTTCTTGTAGATAATATGGATCCTCAAATGGCAATGCTATGTGGATCCGTTATGAAGCTTAAGGTGGGGGACAACGATGACGCACCACAAACCTCGCCGGAACTATCAGAATTTGATGAGAATGCTTCTTCGAATATTGTTTGAGTCACAAGGACTAAAGTTTATTAAAAGACATTTTTTTCTTTTTAATTATGGTTTGTAATTTGTTAAGACTATTTTGGTGTGTTAGTGACTTAGTGTGTAATAGTTAATTAGGCATTTTAGACTATTGAAAACATTGGGTAAAAAATTCAGGTTTTGTTAACTGTTTGAAAACACAAAATTTGGCTAAAAATCAGTTTATTCAGCTAAAAAAAAAATTAAAACAATTAACAAAAGTCAGGTCAAATCAGGTTGTTTTCAGGTTGACCTGAACCCGAAAATATCAGGTTCGGGTTGGGATTTTCAACCCGAAAACTTAAATGGATCAGGTTCAGGTTGGGGAGGATTCCCTGACCCGAAACACGAAAACCCGAACACGAACCCGACCTGATCTGTTTGCCACCCCTAACAGAAGGTGCCAAAAGGGCACTAAAACAGTAAAGATCTTGCTGCACTTAGGCGCACTTCGGTGCACCTTTTTTAAGTGAAGTGCACTATAAAATCATATAAAAAAAATTAAAAAAAATAAAAATTGACCAGAGTGCGCCTTAAGTGCCTCTTTGAATGCACCTTGCCTAGTTGCCTGAAAAAAAAAACTAATATAATTGCCTAATGCCATAGCGCTTAGGCGTACACTAGGGACAACATCAAATTCTAGGAGCCCATGGAATGAGGAGGGATAAAGAGTTAAAATGAAAAACTCATGTCATGAAAAGACTGATACAAAGAAGTCATAAGTCAAATAAAGTAATGTTACAATTCTTTTTAACTTTCCACAAAAAGAAAGTTTTACAACAGACTTTAAACGACAAAAGTAATTGAATTGGTACAACAGTGTCCATACTCCATAGTGACCTTATTTAGGTTTTTAGTGTCTTTAATGACATGCTAACACTTGAAAGCCACATAACTTATAAAATAGATTTTTAAAGAACAAAAGATTCAATACTAACCCAAATAATACTAAGGAGCTATTTGGTTAGACCCCCCAGTGCCCCCCCCCCCCGAACTTGAATACGCCTAAAACCCTCAAAGTCCTTCCACCACTACCACATACACCATTCTAATCCCAACATGGTAGATGACACCCAACTTTAACCCCATTGTTGGCACCGTTATCCTACAGCAAACATCACCATTCCACCCAATGCTCACCCATACACAACTACTTTACCACCACCAATAGCCACCACATCATCTTCAACCAACCCAAAATTCCTATTTGACTTCCATCTAGCCCTTAAGAACTCATAAAATAGTGATAAATGTTCCTTGACACTAAATGAGGTTCGTCCTCGTGGTTCAACTACACCATAGACATTTGACCGAGTGAAGTAAACAAACAAGCTCTATTTGCAAGGACTATGCAATCCTTGAAAAGCCCTGATCTAGCAACAAGCTTTCACTTCCTCACTAAGTTTTGTGAGCTAAAATTATGGGTAACTATGATATGAAATAAAGGGAGGGTGGGCGGTTGAGTAAACATGCTAGGAAGTTGCAGGGATTTGAATGCTTTTCCATTCCACTATCTTTCTTGTTTTCTTTCCTTTCTCCACCCACAAAAAAATATAATATAGTGCACTACCAATCAAAAACCAGAATTAGAAACATATGCACATGATTGAAGCATTCATAGGTAGCAATTTTTGAGAAGATTCAGAAGCTATGCATGATTCAATTATCAATTAGGTGACAATTAATAGCTGTGGGATATAATTAAAAATGAAAATATATTTATCCGAAAACTGCTGATAATGTAAATAAATAAAAAAATTTAAAAAAAAGAGTCTAATTTATGAAATACCTAACAATCTCTCAAACCGGGAAAAAAAAAATTACCTGTAAATTGTCACCGGTGACTTTCAAAATTTCCTTAATTAGAGGTACAGCGGCAGGGTCTCCACATAGGTGTAGTTCATCTGCAGCAAGTCCCAACAGAGCACGAGTAAAGGAAAAGCCCCTGGTCCTGCAACCCAGCATCTGATGTCGTAAAAAATACAAATTAATACAAGTGTATGAAAAACGGACAATAAATAAACACAATGGACCTCATCAATTGTGGTCCTTAATGCTAGAAAATTTTTACTAAAGTCAAGCAGCATACACCTCCTGCCTAGGAAACATATCAAGACAGCAAGAAACCAAGAAATGATGGGTTTTCCCAAGCCAAATCAAACATACAGAAAACTTTTCCTAAACTTGCATTATTTTGCAAGTGTTTGACTTGTTAATCAGCAAATGCTAAAACCCTTATGGTGAAGACTTTAAACTGTTAAATATTCTTAAAAGAGATGTAAAATCACACCTTAAAAGAGTTTTAGCACTAAAAATGGTAGTGATACCACCTCAAATTCTGCTCCATAATTAGAGATACATAGGATTTATATTTTAGTTCAAATTCAAAGAAATTGTCAAAGTACATGGTCATCTTATATTTAAACACAAGGACGCTCTAGCGATAAGCTAATTCTGTTTTGGAGTGCTTGAAAAGTTGAAATCATTGCATAATTTAAACAATAATAACGTTCTCAGCACAGTCATATGGAATGATATGGTACGTCCATAGTCTTGCCCTTCTCACTTTTCATGGTAGATTTTAACTTGCAATGAATTTCTCCCACTAGTATGTTTTGTATTCTCAATTTTATTCCTCCGTTTGATTTGAACATTATCCCATACATCAGTTTCCTTATCCAAAAAATAAGATGCAAGTAAAAATTCAAGGCAAAAGATCATTCTGAAGCTCAATCAGTTTGGTTTTGTGAAACTCTTTTACCTATAAAACAATAAAGGTAAGAGAGAAGCATAATATATAAGTTTCCAATTAATAGATTGCAGTGAACCCCTTTCCAAAGAAGCAATAGCTCAATGAGTTTTTGAGCTCAAGTTTGATGGAATAAGCTAATTAAGTACAATCACAAAGTAAGTCTTCATTACATTAAGATTGTGCCACATGTAAAATGCTTCAACTTGAAAAATGATTAAGTGTTAGCAAAGATAAGTTGAAAAGGTAATTTCAACCAAACAGAAGCCAAGAATGAATCGGTTTTCACAGAAGCCTATCCAAAAGAACAAGAACATAATAGTCCAAGTGAGCGAGGCAAAAGGTAGTCTACCACACCAATCCCTAAAAATAATGTCTAACACATTGAAAATTAATACGCATTAGAAAATCTGTTATATAAACATTTTTGGAAAACTTGAGTAATTCTCAAAGAAACCCTTGATATAAATATGTAAGCAATTCATTTAATACATGGAAATACAAATAGAGAAAATGGGAGATTGAGAATTATAACCCTTATTTATTCCTCCAATATATCTCCTTAACAAATATTTGAGTTAGCAATCTGCAACTCCTACATTTAGTATCAGAGACACGTTTTTCTATACCTCAAAAAATGTATACCAACTTTGCTCAACCACAAGTACCTCAATTATCTAAAGACCAATATGATGAATAGTGCATTAAAATGAAGGCACAATTTGGTTGTGGGAAGTTGTTAGTGACGGCTTAAAAAAAAAACATGTATGATGAGGCAAAAGTCTCATATACTAAAAAAGTCTCAAAAAAAAATAAAAAAAATAAACTAAAAAAAAAAACAAAGAGAAAAAAGATTGAAGGCCATTACTTTTGATATACGCAGGATTAATCAAGAAAAGTTTGTCAAAATTTTACAAATCCAAGCAAAGAAAGCTTGGGATGCTCTTGCAACAATATTCAAAAGAATTGAGAGAGAAAAAATATTACAAGCATTACGAGGTGAATATGACAAATAATGAGTCGAGTTCTAATTACTTTTCTAGTCTTCTTACAAATGTTAACCAACAGAAGCACAATAGAGAAAAGATCGAAGATTCTTAGACCATTGAGAAAGTACTTTGATCATGCAATAAGAAATTAAATCATTACTTGCAATAGAAAAATCTAAAGGCATTCATACATTATCAATAGAATTGCTTTTTGAATTGCTCCAAGTGAATAAACAAAGGATTTACAAGAATGATGGACCAAAAGTGATACGAGTAAGCACTTGGATTGAAGTTGTCAATAAATGAACAAAGAGGTGGAATCAATGAAGCGGTTTTTAGTGGCCGAGGTAGAGATCGTGGTAACTATCAATCTCGCAACCAAAGTAATGAGAAATTTGGACCATGGAAGAGGATCAATTAGAGGAGGGAAAGTTTAAATGAACATGGTATATCTAGCATAAGCATGCCTCCAACTAAGCATAATCAAGCATCCTCCTCTCGACTTAATCGACAATAAAGCACAGTATACATCACTACATAGTACAAAGTTATCAGAAGCACATCCTAATTCAAAAGGTTGTAGGGATCTTACACACACATGAGGTGTTTTAGCAAAAAAATTATTCAGGAAGTAGTTGATAAAAGAAACAAAACGATACCTTCACAATACAGCACTAAATATTACAAAGTTATCAGAGGCACATCCTAATTTAAAAGGTTGTAGGGACCTTACACCACACATAAGGTGTTTAACAAAAAATTATTCTGGAAGAAGTAGTAGATAAAAGAAACAAAATGGTGCCTCCACAATCCAAGAAGATGATTCTGATCATTAGTCTGGGATGCCACAGACCAAAGTCCCTCAGTCCTCTTCAAGGTAATAATGTTTGAAGTATTCTCAACTATAATCATCTCCATTTGGTTTTTAGAAATATTACACTTCAAGTAGGGTAAATAAGAAAGAAAGAAACAAAACAAGAAGTTAAAAGAACGTTTTGTACTTTTCAAAGAGGGAGTTAAAATTGAATAAATAACTTCATGGACCATATGTCTCAAGAGCAAGAAAGTCAGTATGAAAATATCAAGTCAAGGTTTTTTATTTGGCATCAGTCAATTTTGCTTGGAAAATTATTTCTACTACTTTTTCAATACTTAACACCTAAAAATCATTCTGATGGTTCGTAATGGACACTAAAAAGTTTAAGGTAAGTATTAGGTGAAGCCTAAGAAAAATGATTACGCATATGCTTTGACAGTCACATGTGTGCAGCAAATGAGTGCAAATCAAAGTACTTCAATCAAATAACAAAGAAAGCTTCTACCACCAACACAGTGAAAAATGTTCAGCAGAGTAAGCTGTAGCAAACTACATGCCTGAATTTCATCAATAATGGCACATTGGTAGTCAGATGTCACATCCGCCATCTCAACAGTTGCAGCCATGTGTTTTGCACCTTCAACTTCCTCCCGCTCTTGTCCAGTGATTAGATCACAAGGAACATTAGCTTTATTCAAACGTTTTGCAACTTCCCAAGCCAATAATCTTAAGGGTCCACAGTATACACCTGCAGAACACAACACATAAAAAGATTATGGATCTGATTACAAAATGCATATCCGCAAGAGTGCACCGCTGACTTACTGAGTAAGTACAGCTACTTTACCAGTTGAGCTACATTCCAACTGCTTCAAAGCCTGATATGTTTTACCACTGTTTGTGGGTCCCACATGAAGATAAACAGTTCTCTTCTTCTTTCGAGCAATTGGGTACCATGTATGAGGACGACTAGCAATAAAAACCCCAACAAGAAAGTAGTATTTTAGATTTCATCATTTGTGAGTTTCTAAAAGAATTGAACAGCAAATGAGACCAATAAGTCTAGAATACAGCTTCTACTAGTGTTCTAAAGAAAAACTTAAGTCTAGACAAAATTAAGGCATAAAAATTATAAAGCTCTACCCAAAATATCATAATTTTTGTGCAGATTGCAGTACTTATAAGATAACAGAAGATAGACCATGAAAATGCAAGATTTAAGTTTGGTCAGTTAAAAGTCTATAAATCTATGTTTATCAACATTTCTGAAGCTTTTGATCTTGTAGATTGTGGGTGTGCAATGCATCTCCCTTCTTCATTCGTCTCCAACACAAAGGAAAAATAAAAATATTTGAGGGGAGGGGAAATAGAAAATCATAATGAGGTCAAATCAACTTTGACTCTGGTAAGCAAATAAAATAGTGAATGAGATTAGAATTACAGATTCACACTGAGGTCTAACAAAAAAAAGATATTCATATTTTATTTTAGAATTACAAAATTCATTCGCCATGTAAACAAAATTAACGAATTAGATTTAAGATTTAAATTCAATTGTCACGTAGTTTAAAAACAACGAATACTCGAATAGTGATTAAGGATTTAAATAATTAAATAACTGATAAATATAATGTAAAAGGATTCATTTATTTTCCTTAAATTATTCAAGTGTCATCAACGAATGAAATTGCATTTTTTTTATTACATTAAAAATAACAATCATACATTTCTAATAAAAATATTATCCCAATATTATAGATATTTATATATTGGTAACGATAAAATATTACTATTCTATACTATTACTTTAATAATTAAAAAATCTTAGACTTTGAGTTTATTTACTCGAGATTTATGTAAAAAAAATTAGAATAGGAAAATAAATATTATAGAGATCAATAAATCAAAATAAATATTTATATATATATAAGAAAAATAAAAAATAAAAAAATAAAAAACGAACAAGCTTAAATCTAGTAAAAAATTATATACTACCTCCGTTAACTATTATGTGCAACAAAGGGGTATTATTTGTTAGACATAAAATATTCATTTGTTGCACATAATAATAAACGGAGGTAGTATATAATAAGGGTATATCTAAACCTCATTGAATGGAAAATATACCAGATAAATGGTCCCTTTACCTAAAATGTTTTGAGGCTCTGGGATAGGGGAATCGTTTAAGGGGAAATATTGGAAATATGAGTTAAATTGAAGAGGTTATGAATAAAGCTAAAATTTAGAGGAGGTTAATGTTTAGAGAAAAAGAAAAAGTTGGAGAAACAATAATCAACTACCCTCGTATAAGCATAATAATCACCCATCCAGCCACCCCACTACTAGAGTAATAGAATAAACCCACCCAAAGTAGGGGTGTTCATAAATCGGTCCGGACCGAAAAAATGAACCGGACCACCCCGGACCAGACCGGACCGAATTAATCGGTCCGGTCTTCGGATCTTGAAATTCATTTTCCCGGTCTTCGGTCCGGTCCGGTCCATAACCCTATAAAAACCGATTTTGGACCGGACCGATTTTTTTATTAAAAATATGTGTGAAACCTTAAATATTGGTTAAAATTATCCTTAATAAGCTTTGTAAACTTTAACTTTATAAGCTTTTTTGCACTAAACATACAAAAAAAAGACGTAAAAATGATGTTACAATATAGTTTTTTCAATATTTTTTTTGTGTTTTCCTTAACTTTATTAAAAATTTAGTATTCTTTTTCAAAAAATTCTTTATTCTTTTTAAAAAAATTCTTAAATCGGTCCAAAGCGGTCCGGTCCAGGTTTTTGACCGATTCTTTCGGTCCGGTCTTCGGTTCTTAAAATTCTAATTTTCAGTCTTCGGTCCAATCTGGGTCGGTCCGATCTTGGACCGATGAACAACCCTATAATGAAGTCAATAATTCCCCACCACTGCCTATGCATAACTACCACCTCGTTAAATTAAACTCTATCACCCCTCTAACAAATTCGCTCATTTCAAGCATGGCTAAAGAGCACTAAAAGTATAAAATACAAAAGAAAAGGAAAAAAAAAAAAAGAGCAATACTTAAATTGCACGCTCTCAAAGGGCAAAATGATTATAAGAAACTAGGGTGAATTTAACCATATGTAGAAAAGTTCGTATATGAGTGGGTATTAATTGAAAACGAAACACAAAGAGAAAAAGATAGTGAAACACTAAAACATGATAAAAATAAAATTAGAAAAAAGACACATGTAACAAAAATTCTACTTTTTAAAAAATGAAATAGGGAAATAGGGTTAAATCTTTAGAGTAGTTATATAGTTTTGTTATCAAAATTATTTGTAATAGTTAATAATGTTTGTTTTAGTGTATTTCATATACGTTTTTAAATTCTCTTTGTTATGTTAATGCTCCCCATTTACTTTATCACAGATTTCTTTCATGATGTATTTACTAATGTAATGACCTCTTTATATGTGCAAGGCTGCATTGGTAATGATATCGTATGTTTATTATAGTTTTTATGCCCATTTAATGATATTTAAATGCAGGAAATGGATATTATATACACACCATGTCGTTTTATTGCCCTTTCTATATTGAAAGTAAATGTGAGAGTGCGTTTATTACGGGTGGTGAATGAATATGCTACAGCTAGAGGTGCAAGTTACATCCATTGTTCATGGCAATATGGTATTTACTAACACAGAGGTTTATACTATAGTTTTACTAACATCTTAATTTGTTTTTCCAACATATTCATAAATATAGACACTTATGTATAATTTCTCACTTTCGAAATTCTAAGTCACATTATATAATGGTGATATTGATAAATATAAAGAAATCTTCAAACAAGAAAAAATTTATTCGATTGAAGGAGGAGCTTATGCCTCCAGATGCATCTTACAAGCCAATAACCAAATGAGGTTGAAATTTAGTAGCAAGAAAAATGATAACGGAAGTTCTCGATGATTGTGAATATATCCAAGGTACAATTTTACATTTATTGAATTTTGCTACATTCCACATTGCCTTCACATGATCAATTCTCCTCTCATCTTCACATGATCAATTCTCCTCTCATCTGGATGTGTCTTTCAGTAATTTAAACATACCTAATACAAACAGTTTTATATGGTAATTTTGATGATTTTTGGAATTTTTTTCCACGGTACCTTCACATGATCAATTTTAATGTTTCCATGATAACATTTTCATACGGTACCGGTAACGTAAAATATTAGTTGCAACTTTGGAATATTTTAAATCTCACAAATAATACCCCAAAGTTCCAACTAATATTTAACGGGGGGGTTCAAGGGGTTCATTGAACCCACAGATTTTTTGGAAAAAAATTATAAGTTTCAGTTTTTTTTTTTTTTAAAGGGTTAAAAGAAATTCTTGTGAGGAAGATAATCAAATGTGTAAGTTTGGTGCACTGAAGTGAATGATAGAGCAGCGCACCCCCCCTTAGAGTCTTAAGTTCGACTCCTACTTCCTTCTTTTTTTGTACTTTTTTTTTGTTTTTTTTTTTAACACCTTACATTCAAATTCAGAAATTAAAAACATCGACATTCTTATTTCCCCCAAATTCCAAAACTCTAACCTTTTGGCTTCAACGTTCAACCAAAAACCTAACCTTCACACCCTAGCCACGGCCGCCGCGGTGCCGCACCTATTGACTGACAGCCACCGAGACATCGATCGGCGATCGGCGACCGACGGGAGTTCTGAGTTCTTCGAGAATTGTGAGTCCTCTTAATTATACTCTTATAGTCTTATTCCTCTACTCCTCTTAATTCTTAATCTTTATTTGTTTGTTTTATTTTTTTTAATTGGTTTTGATATATTGTTGAATACAAAATACTTGAATACTTGAATTGTTGACAAATTGAATTGTAGAAACATAGAAGTTAGAATTATTTGACTAAGCTTATTGGGGGTATATTAGCTTATTTGGTAGTAAGCTTATTGGGGGTATATTAGTTTATTTATTGACTAGTCAAACAAGCTAATACAAGTGTTTGGTAGTAAGCTTATTGAAAGAGCTTATTCCACTAAATAAGCTCTGTTTGAAAAAGCTCACTTTAGGAGCTTTTTCAATTAGCTTATTCATTAATTATTGCGAAATGACACTTACAACCTCATTTAATTTAAAATCATATCTAAACTACCTACCCCACAATTAGCTTATTGGTCATTTTACATACTCAATCACCTTTAAGCTATCAGTTATTTACCAAGCACTTTTATATAATCACTTAATACAATAAGTTAGTCAAATCAATTAATAAAATCAGCTAGTCAAAATCAGCTAACTCAATCAGCTTCACCTTTCAGCTTTCTCCCAAACAGGGCCATGGTCTTTTAATTGATAATTAGAAGAAGTTTATATTGTCAAATTTGTGTTTATTGGGGACTTGGGATTTTAATTGATAATTAATTATTTATTTTGTGTATTATTGTAGATTGTAAAGCTTTTGTTACCAACTTACCATAAGTTTAGTGTCTTTTTGGAAACATGCCGAGAAGTCACAAAAGTCCACCACTTGTTTTTTTTTTATATATTTTTTTTAATTGTGTCCATCCATTTGTTATAAAAAATTTGAAATTATGTATTGAATATTTAATTTATATATGATCATCGTTTTTTTTTTAAGATTTCGAACCCCCACTTCGGAATTTCCGGAGACGCCACTCAACAGAAGTAGTATCAAGTTATTGGGTTAATTATTAATGTGCGTAAACCATATATTCTCATTACTCTCAAGTCTCGACACAAAGTAAGAGCATAATTAACAACTTACATTGTGTTTATATAACTATAAAAATTATTAAAAACTATGCAATGTTAAGTATTTTTTTTTTACCATATCACATATTTTATTATATATATACTTTTTAATGTATCTTAGTATTTTCTTTTATTATGTTACCACATTAGTGTTTTATGATCTGAATTAATTTCATTTGCTACAGTTTTCTCAAACCTCTATGTTTTTTACTCTAACATTTTAACCACCTCTTTCAAACTTTCTTGAATTTCATTTTTTGTTCTCTTTTAAAAGTCCCTTTATTTTTCTTGAATGCTCTTTCTTTCTCACTTTACTCTTTCGACTTAAGAACTTGTTATGTTCCTTTTTACATCATACGGTTCCTTATGACGATTCATTTTAGTTGACCCCAAATCATTTCGGGACTAAGGCCTGTTGCTGCTATTGTAATCAAATCCCATATTTTGATTTGTAGCATGCAAAATAATGAGGCTAACTTTATGGAAAAGGTTTGCTCATGAACTAGGTCGTTTCTTGTTCCATGAGCTTAACCAAGATCATGTGTTGGGTGCATCCATGGTATCAGTGTATACTTGGCACCTATTATGGTTTAATATTTTGTTTAAAAGTAGCTAACTATAAAAAGACTATGATGTCATTTACTTTATTATCATTGCTTTAAATACTTATAATGGCCTTCTAACAAGTGCATGGCTTCATTGATGAAACTGATGATCTACATGGATGGTAAGCCTTAAAGCATCATAATCAACGATGAAATTCTTTTGTTACATACTTGTGTATGTATATAACTCACATAGCCATATAAGTGTGTGGATGATGGATATAAGTCCAAAAACATATCAACAGATATTAGCCAATGGTATCTCTCAAATAGAAATGGTGCGTAATACCAAAAGGATTAAGTTAAATTAGTTTTCAGCATTGTATAATGTATTTGTATCAACTATTATTTAATTGATATTATCTTACACATAAGGTAATTAATATTTGGTGGAAATTCTACACTATAACCGAGTAACCCATGACCAAGTAACTCCTAATTGTTTTAACCCTCCCGATGAAGTAACCACGACCATTCTGATGAAATAACCACGACCATTCTTTAAGGAAATAAAAAATTAAAAAATAACCCTAGGCACACGCCACATATTAAACTTTGTCAATAAATTATTCAACTTTAAGTTAAAATTAAAATAAATTTTATCATTAATTCAAAACAATAATTATAGATTTTTTTATATATTAGATATTGTATCCAAATATCTACTAAATGATAAAAGAAATTTATAATTCATTATATAATAAAAAAAAAAATCAAAAGTTAATTTGACAACATATTTTATTTAATTTTAAATAACTACCAAGATGAAAATTGTTTTTTTTTTTCTACTGGGATTTTATCAAAAACTGAACAACCATTGAGGTTACGATAGTTTGACTCCGGTAACCCCATTGAGGCAGGCCACACCGTGTGGATCCAACCACATATTAAATCAGTGTTAAAAATTATGCTTAAATTAAAAAATAATAATAAATATATAAATAAAATCATGTATTGCACGGATTTTATTTAGTTATTGAAAAAGGTAAGTGGGTGTATGATAAAATAGAATAAAGTAAGTGAAAATGTAAAAAGATGAGTTTGTATAATAAGAAAATAAAAATAAAAAAGAAATAAACTTAAGTAAGAGAGTGTAAAAAGGTGTAATTACTGTGGGGTAGAACCTTAGAAGGGGTGGGTGGTAAAATTGATAGACTTAAACAGAATAAAGCAAATTGAGTAGAACAAAAAAAGACTAAAATGTGAAGTAGTAATACAAATTAAAATGGAAAGTGGGTAGAAGTAGAACACAAAAGAACGGATGGAGTACAGCACTAAAACATAATAGAAATTTTTCCCTTCAAAAGTTTCAAACACTATAAATATTACTAGTAGCAAGAAAAGGAAAAGATATTCTACTAAAAATAATATTTCCTCATACGCTTTTTTAATAACAACATTTAGACATCGCACTTGAAAATGCACAACACATACCAATAATACAATCAACTAGCTTTTAGTTAAAAAAAACATAAAAAGGAAATAAAATAAAATAAAAAATAAAAAAAAGGAAATACAAAGATCCCACATGACTTTTTTCTGGTATTTATAAATCGCAAAAAAAAAAAAAAAAATGGTCTAAGGAAAGTGTACAAATCGTGTAAAAGTCCATATGGTGCAATATAAAAGAACCAAGGAAGTATCAAAATCTACTACTCCGTATGAGGCAATGCTATATATCAACAAAGAAGGCTATACAAAGACAACAAACAAATGATATATATATATATATATATATATATACATACACATCAAATAACAATAGCAAGTGTAAAGAGATGATACTTACGTCAAGTCTGTAAAATCAAATCCAGTTGAAGAAACACAACTGCTGAACAGCCTCAAATAATTGCATTGACAAGCCAACAGTCCTAATTTAAACTCCAAAGGGAAACTCTCAAACTTATCTGAAAAATTGAAAGAACAATAATATGACAAGATGATCATGACATAAATTTAATCCACCGGGAAACCTATTCGTTTTAATTATTTTCCTCAACTTTCTGAATCAATAAACATTAAAATACGAGTTGCCGGATAACACTAAGTCACTAACTCAATGCAATCTCAAAAGTGAAATTGGTTTCTCCACACTTTTCACATCATCCAATTTGCAATTTCCTACTCTATTACATTCCCTAAATTACATTCCTCTTTCTCTCTATTATGTGAGGAATAAATGCTAGAAAGAGGAATGTAATTTAGGGATGGAGGGAGCACTCAAAATTGCTACTCGGTACATAATTGAAACCCAAACAATAGAATGCATCGAAAAAATTGAAATAGTTTTTACTTTTAAGCTTCTAATTCATTTTCCGTAGAGCAAAAATTAACAATTTTCTAGCAAATGATGCTCAAAAAACATATTTTAACATACAAAAAAAAAATGCATATTGAATTGTTAAAAACTAAAAAATAGATCCTAAATTGAATATATTTAATTAAAAATATTTAAGCTTGGATAGAAGCAATGTCCAGGTTTAATTACCAAACTCAGGTAATTGCTGAACAAATTGTTGTGCAAAATAAGCAATTTAATACAATCCCAATTCATAAATTTTAAATTAAATAAGTAATATACTGCACTTATTATTATGCTTGCCGCACAATAGAAACATCATATCAAAAGAGGAAAAGCATAAGGTTTAATTTATTGGCAAGAGAATATATGTAGGTTTCTATAATTTCTGTTAAATAAAGTCAGACACAAAAGAAAAAAAAAGATGTTATTACGACGACATTTGAAGATTAGAGCAAAAGAATCGAACCGTAAATATGACGAGAAACGCTGAAGTTTGAGAATCTCCGGCGAAGAAGCGAAGACGCCATTGTTTTTTAATTTTCCTACAATGAGGCCAATACTGAGTTTATAAATGGCCAATGCTCCCACTTTTTTTTCCACTCCCCGATACTCATCGGTGTTTTAAAAAGTGTTTTTTATTTTTTTTTTATTGTATAAATTTTTAAGTAATTTAATTGACTTATAAATCAAAATGATTAATTCTTACTTTAGGAATTCTTCAATAAGTAAAGCACTAGTTTTGTGCCCCGTGCTTTCTCAAAAAAAAAAGGTTTTGTGTCCGTGCGATGTCCGGGTTTTTTATTAAATTTTGAGATAAATTTTAATTTATATGTCAAATTTCAAAATATATCTGATCTCTAACTTTCTAATACAAAATTAGTTAGAAATTAATGTGCTTTTGTGACGATTTAAACTATATAGAAGTAGGCATGTAAATGACTAATAATAATATTGGTATTTTTTTAAAAGTTATAATCTAATATTTTTTTGAATAAAATTATAATTAAATTTATACCTATGAAATATTGGTATTTTATCGAAAATAAAACTCTCAATTAACAATTTTATCCTAAAATTCTATCCAAATTTGATTAAAAATAGAATTTTAAACTTTTTTTATCCTATGAAGTCTATATAAATATATCCAACGTGGCACGACACTTAGCGAAAATTTAGAACGTCAAGTGTCGCAATGTCGTGGTCTGTCTAAAAGTTTAGCTTTATAAATTAGTTATATGATTGTTCATTCAAAAAAAACTCCTTTGAAAGAAAGGGCATTCTCTCTCGAGAAAAAGGGCTATCTTTATCGTTCAGATAGCGATTCTACCGGAATCCGGTTGTTCTCCTCATCGGCAATCTGATGGCAGAGGACATAGTTAAGATGTATTCCCAACTCCAAATTCATGAGGAGGAAGGAGAAGTGATTGATCTTGGTGCGATTAACCCTAGCGATAATGATAACAATTTGGAATTAATGCTAGTGGGAAAAATTCTAACCGAGAGACCGTACAATGTTGAAGCTTTCCAAAAAACAATCACAACGTTTGGGCTCCCACTCATGGTTTGGCAATTAGGGTCCTTAGCCTTAATCTTTTCGCTTTCCAATTCTTCCATTACAAGGATTTGGGGAACGTTTTGAAGGGTCGACCATGGTGTTTCGATAATATGTTGGTGATTCTCAAGGAAATCGATGGCGATGAGCAGCTTGAGAAGGTTACTCTGACCCATTCTCCATTATGGGTTCGTATAAAGAATCTCCCTTTCAATTGCAGATCAGACACACACGTTAGAGAAGTAGTGCAATGGATGGGACAGATCTTGGAAATTGAAGAGGATGTGCTGGGTATAGGGAGCTATAGGAGGGTCAAACTGATGTTGGATACGACTCGTCCCCTTCGAAGATTTCAATTGATCAAGGATCGCAAGGGTAGAGAGTCGAGTGTGGATTTCGCCTATGAACATCTGTCATTCTTTTGTTGTGCTTGCGGGATTATGGGTCACTCAGAAAAAGACTGTCACTTGGCGCCTGAAGAAGAGAGACGGTTAAAGCTTGGGTGGAGCACTGCCATTGAAGCGACGCCTTAGAAGGGGAGACTCAAAGAAGTCGAAGAAATAGAATCGCTTAAGGCGAAGCAAAAACTCCAATTTGTGACCAGGTATGATGATAAGAGCAATGAGGAGAAGAGCATTGACAGTCCAAAATCATCTTCAAGCGCCCTTCAATAGCAAGCTACTAATGTGCTGATCGAACCTAAGCAAACAGACGGCAACAAAGATTTTGTTCCAATTCTTTCTAAAATTGAATGTGCTAATAAGAGTACAAAGCATGATAGTGATAAAAGTTTAGAGCGCGTGGAGAGTGGGCCTCTGACCATCACTAGCAGTACTTTCCAGAATGGTGTCTCTTCTGAGAAAACCAAAATTAAAACTGTGAAGCGCATGATGAAAGTTCCTTCATCCAGCAAGACAATGATCAGTAACTTGAATTCCCTTAAACGTGACTTTGATGTGGCAAAGATGGACATTAAGGAGGCTGGTGGTATTAGTAAATGTAGTAGACTTGATGAAGTAGATGTAATATATGCAAATTTGGCGACGGAGGTTGGCATGGACCAACCCCGCCTCTCGCAATGAGTGTTCTGTGTTGGAATTGTCGGGGATTGAGCAACTCCCGTGCAGTTCAACAACTCCGAAAGTGGAGTAATAGACTTGCCCCCGACATGGTTTTTGTGTCGGAAACGATGATCAATACGTTGGAGGTAGAGGGAATTAAAAATCAGACTGGATTTTTTAAATCTTTTGGTGTAGCTTGTAGAGGAAGGTCGGGTGGTTTGGTTTTGTATTGGAGGGAGGAGGTGGATTTTCAACTTGTTTCCTATTCTTAAAACCATATATGTGGGGATGTGACTAGTAGGGTAGGGGTTTGGAGGTTTGTGGGTATTTATGGGTGGCCTAGAGAAGAGGAAAAGTACAAAACATGGGACCTAATTTGTAAGTTATGCAGTGAGACTTCTCATCCTATTTTGCTAGGGGGGATTTCAATGAGATATGAAGAGAAGGAGGGAGGTGCGGATAGAATGAGGAGGGAGATTGGTCCTTTTCGAGAAGTGGCTAATGACTTCCAACTTCGAGACCTTGGGTTCGAAGGTAGTTGGTACACGTGGGAGAAAGGTAATTCCGTGGAAACTAGGGTCCGGGAACGTTTTGATCGTTTTCTTGCCTCGCACTCATGGACTTCCATGTTCCCGAGGAGTAGAGTCAAACACCTCGTCAGAGTAAGATTTGACCACACTGCTATTTTCCTTAAGCAATAGTGCAATGCAAAAAAGAAGAAAAAGAAGAAACTGGGATTTAGATTTAAGACAAGTTGGTTGCTAGATGAGACTTGTGAACAAGCTGTGAAAGCAGCGTGGGATTGTAGGGAAATATAGGTACTACGCAGCGGAAATAATCATGAATCATATTCATATAGCACCTAACCAAGGATCTCATGCATAACACATAAAGAGTAAGAATAATACCTTTGAAGCATGATTCCACAAGTGATCGAGCAAGAACAATAAGGAGAACAAGAACCTCACGTGTGATTCCTCTACTTAGTCCACGAGCACGGATTAAACCTCAACTAATGCTAGTTAGTTGTGACTGAACGCTTCAATCAACCTTCAACGGAGATCCGAGCCACGAACACACCACACCACCACCCACGTACCACCACACGCGCCGCCCACAAGGGAGAGCCGTACGGACAGGGAGGAGAGAGAGAGGGGGGGCTGAGCAGAGAGAGAGAATTAGGGTTTTGGGATACTTGGTTGCTTGTGTGACAATTTACTGTATGTCAATTGTTATGTCATGCAACCCTAGGCATGGTTTATATTTATAGATCATATCTAGAAATAAAACCATGTCAAGTCCAAAACCTATTAGACTCTTCTAACTATCCAAGCCCAATCATCAACATGGTATGCCGTGAACTCATGAGGCCCAATAATGGGCCTCTAACTTGTTTAACCCAATACTCTTATGTGTGACCTTGTAGGATCCATTCTATAAGGTTTTGGGCCATTAAGCTAGCCCAAAGATCAATTGTCATATCTAGCACCAAACATTGACGACCCTATAGAATGAACTTATTATCTCCATAATAGTGATCCTTGATATATCTAGTAATTGCACTTGTCCAAGACATAACTCCTTCAGGGATGACTCTAGGGGTGGGTCCACTTGATTGAACTTTTCACCGAAGATCCCTCATCATTATGAGTGAGCTTGACAATGTCAAAACCATCATGGAATGAGAACAAAATAATATCATGAGCAGAGTCATCATCGGTCGGTTTCCCAAGGACATCCATTCACTAGTAGAAAAAAAGAATAAGGCACCCCCATAAAGGCACCGGTTCAGGCCAAACCGGTGCTCTAAACCGGCCCAAATTTGGGCGCACTTTTACAAAATATATAAGGCACCGGTTCAAACCAAACCGGTGCCAAAAATAAAAGGGCACCGGTTTGAACCGGCGCCTTAATTTAAAAAAAACCGCTTAAACTTTCTTTCTTCTTCCTTCTCTCTTTCGTGCTCATTCACTGTTTCATTCAAATTCCAGCCACCACCATTCATTTGTTCTCTCTCTTCGCCCCTTCTCCTTCCTCGGTATTCTAGTCTCCAGGTCCGGCGACCGGCGACGCCGCGACGGCTAGTCAGTAGTCACCCTAACCCCTCTTCAATTCGCCTCTTTGTTGAAGCTTGAAGTTCCTCTTTTTGCTTAGTTACGATCTCACACCTCACCCATTCACGACCCAATTTCTTCTCGGCGGCAAGTCAGCCTCCAAGGCAGCAAGGCTCCAACTCCTCCAACGCTTCACAGCCTCCAACCGTAGGTCCCCTTCTTTCCTTTCTCTTTTAATTTGTTTCAAACTTTCAATAAGGTTATGTTTTTTGTTTAGAATTTGAGATTTAGAGTATGAAATTATGAATTAAATTATGAATTGAAATATTGAATAATTGAATTCAATATTAGTATATAGTCTCTTTCTCTAAAATTGGAACAAAATTGAATTGAATGCCATCAAAGGAATTAATTAATAAGTCAGTGGAAATTAAAAAAAAATAGATGAAAATAGAAAGTGAGTAGAACCTAGGAAAATTGAGGAGTGTATGTTCTTGATACTCGATTGTTTGACATTATGTGGCTTTTAATCTTTCTTGCATTGCCTCTAAATGTTATTTGGTTCAACCAGAAATTCTTATGAAATATAGTGTAAATGATTAATGAACCCTTAACAAAGAAAAAAAAAAGATGATCTAATTTGAAGTTTTGGGTGAATTTTTTGCTATATTTGATCACTAAGTTATCAAAATCAGTGGCTGCTTGCTAATTTTATTTTGAAAAATACTTTTTATGATGCGTATATGATTGGACTAAGTGAGTAAAGTGACTAACATCGAGTATTAACTTTTAGAGGTGAATTGATCTGAATAGTTCCAGGTTTCACCCATCTTAGTGTAGAATTTTATTTGTGAATGGTGGGGCTGTTGTGATGATGGTTATAAGTGATTGAGATTGATGGAAGGTTGAATATAATGGTGGGGTTTTCCGCGGGAAAATTTTGTGGGTTGTGCAGGCCAATGGCACTGGGTGGTGTGGTTCACT